TTTCGACCCCTCACGAAGCCCAGTAACTCTGAGCGCGAGATGAGGCCATTCCCATCAGAGTCGTAGTAGTAGAAGTCGGGCAGATGTCCGAAGTCACCTGAGCCGATACGCTATCATGAATATACGACGAACACAGTGCTCCTCCCACCCGCAGTGCATAGCGTTAGCACTAGTCCAACGACCAAGAACATGTAATGAGTTCTCATCCACAATACACCTCTGGTAGCAGATAGGGAAGCCACTAAGAGAAAGGCTAGTGGAGATGGACAGTCGCAACTGAAATAGTGTGCACTACACAACCGAAGCTGTGCAGTGGGGCAGTTCCAATGAGACCTAGCGACACCAGGGCAGTGGTGGAAGTGTGACTAGTGGGAATAAGGAAGTTGGAGAAGATACAGCCGTGATTTCAGCACAGGGAGACCATCACCGGCGGTGATACCATGACGACATGCTATTGGCAAGCCGCTTCCCAGATTCTGATTCGCAGGCTCTAAAGATTCTCGACAACAAAAGTAACTACCGAGCGGGAGGAACCTTTCCTCCGCCCGTCTTACTCCATAGCCTAAATGACAAACAGCACTAGGCATCTAGATCTTAGGCTTCGACGACATCCCCCATCTGAGCCAGCTCGGTCACACTGAGCTGCACATGGTCAACTACATGTGCTGGTAACGATATAGATCTTCTGGTGAGGAAATTATGAGAAATTATCGTTGTATACTGCTACCCGAAACTGATACAGTGAGGAAACTTACGAGCTTACGAGTTGAGGTAGATAAACCTATATTCCCGCCCTGCTGTATTATCCTCTATTCACACATGGAGTGTAAAATTGCATCGTCAGTTCGTTGCAGACGAAAATGGCACAAGTCAACTCGTCTGGGTGTACTTAGAAAGAGATCATTTTGCACTCAAATTCACCGCAAGCGACTATCGTGGCCAACTATAATGAAGATATCGTGAATCTGGTGGAGAAGCTGCCGGAGGGAACTCCACCGGCTCCTCGGGGATAAAGGGTGCTGGAGGCAACACGTCGACTTGCGTCACTGCGCCGCATAATTTAACAACAGGCACTAGCCTTGAATGAGTGCATGAAGTGGATACGTCGACCCACACCGGGCCGTCTCGACGAGCCAGCTGTACTCTCCCTGGTAGGTAGCGAAGAAGTAGGGCGTCTCCAGCAGCACATCGCGCTGAGCAGTGCTTGATACGACCGAGGTACCTACACAACTCTCTTCGTATATATGGACATACCACAACAGTCTCAATCTACAGTAGTTTGTATGGTATGTCCTCATATGAGCATACAAATCCAAGCACGTGACATCTCACAACATAACACAGCGGCAGCGAAGAAGTACTCACGAGTTAGCACACTGATGCGAGGCGACCGAGACATGGCCGTCCACAGTGACGGTGACCATTATCCATTCTCGGCCCTCCAGCACCCCATGAGAGCCGCCACCAGTAGGCAGACGGCGAGAGGCGAGAGGCTCTGTAGCGAATCCTAGCAGAACGGGCAAGAAAACTATTTATAATACTCTGAAGTGTATGCAACTCACCGATTCCCATCAGCACATTATACTTGGTCCCTTTCACATCTACTATGAACAACCTAGTCTCCTCACCCCTATACACGGCGCTAGACAACAGGACAGCCGTACCTCCCCGCAGTGGACCTCGGGGATAGCGGCCATGGGCATAGGAAGATCTCTCCTGCCACGACAAGCCGATAACCTGATACGACTAAGGGGCAGTTCTCAGCGGCCTGGAGGTAGTACTTGTCCATGCATCTCGTCCCAGCGAGTTATTGCGAGGCACTCGCCGTCGAGTTTCACCTGGCTAGGATCGAACCCGCGACCTCCCGGAGATGACCCTGCATACAGACAATACGCTCCTCTTATATCACCACCAGATCCCCCCCCCCCTTACGTCTTCCATCTGTAGCGGTTGGTGCGGTATCCACCTTGTCGTCGTCCCCCAAAGAGCTCATCACCGTTGCTATCCCCGGAGACCCCTCGTCGCTCATAGCCGCAACCGAGTCACACACCGAGGTGTCCCCATCGTCCACTCGATACACCTCAGGTACCCGACCATCAGCACTGCCCGAGCACGGCCTCTTCCACTGTCCATCCTCCTCTGCTCGCGGAGTCCCCCCTTCCATCCTACTCCGTCGCCTCTTCCCTCTACTCCCTTCCGATATGATGCCAGTAGAGACACTTACCAGAGACCCCCTATAGTACACCCTCTGACCCCGGCTCGTCAGCAGCTCATCACCACCTCCATCATCTATTTCTCTGCTATCAGTACATTCTTGCCGCTCTTTGATCGGTTCAGCTACCCTCCTAGCCCTCGGCCGAAGTAGGACGGTTGTCGTATGCCTCTCCTTAAGCCCTACATCTTGTCGGGCTCTCAGCTCAACTGGCTTGCCAATTCGATGAGGTTCCTCTCTCGGAAAAAGCCTAGGTTTCCATTCTCGCTCATCAAAGTGCTGTGCGTTCACCGCCGCGTTCTCAGAGACAGTATCAGGATCCTCGACAGGTCCTCCAAGAGCAGACCTTCTCATCAGCGATGGCGTCCATTCCATTTGAGAGCGCCTACACCCAGAGCTATCATTGACTATCACGCAACAACAACAACAACAGATCGGACATAGAAGAATCGCACCTGGGAGTAGTTACCCACATCTACGTAATACAATGATCCGACAAGAAATCCACAATAACAAGGCAGATAGTGAATCCATCTAAACCTGGCCATACTCTATACTCACGTTAGCCATTAATACGAGTTGATCCTCTTCCTAGCATGTACGGCGACCAACAGCAAGGAAGAGAGCTCTTTAGAGACTACATAACGATCGACTGCTTGCACCGTCTACGTCCGTTCCTGCCGTTGAAAAAATGCAAGAGGTAATCGAGGGAGGCCAATCCCTAATTGATAACGCAATACACTCAACTCTACAGGGAAACGCACACACTATCCTCATTTCGTACCGCGATCTCCAGCGATGCCCAGGAAAATACGACACTTGAGTTTCAGCAAATCTGTCACAAGGGACTAGGAAAACCACTACCTCCCTACGTACTACTTAATAGCTCTGATGAACCGGCAAGGTCGTGCCTGTTGATGGATCGAACACCCACGGCTTAGGCTCGTCCTCCTTTTCCCCAAGCCTACATACAAGATTCAATAACAAATTATATTGAATCACAGTCAGAGAACTCACTTGATTTGGTCCAAGGCTTCCTTAGCTGTTGGTACTACACGATCATAACGACCCAATTCTGCCCGTACCGAGATGAGATCAGTCTTATCGAAACTAAAATCCAAAATTCGCTGACAGCTTCAACGTCACGAAGGCGAGTGGACGACTCGGCACTACAGGGACATACAATATTGCCATCCCCTCGTTCAAGCATGTGCCCTTCTACGAATTCCTCCCAATCAGATCCCAGTACTACCGGCTTCCATCCGGCTTCCACCCCAACGGAAGAATTGCGATTTGCGGAGAGTCTACAACTTCCATATCATATCTGAAGAGAAAGAAGAAGACAATCGAGTTTAGTCCTTTGCGAAGTTCGAACCAACACTAATACTATTACAGGGTGATCAAAAAGCCGGGCCCACCTCTCCAAATTTCTCATCGAGTGTGAATATCAGGGAGACTCAGGCACCATTTTCAAGGTATCGACGAGCTCTCTCTAATCATTAGTCTGATATTAGAGTCTAATGGTAGTTGAACCAATTCTATACTCTTCATACCCCACATGTTATGACGATATGGAGAAAGCCGTGTACGGCGAAAAGCGGGTAAATTTTATTTCTGGACTATTTCCGTCTATCGATGGTCGAATTTTCTGGACTGTTCGCAGAGACGGTCCACAGAGAGATGGCATAGGCGCCCCAACTTTCTATTATTCAGATGCGCTAAGAAACGTCGAGGGATGGGCCCTCCTTATTCGATCCCCCTGCAGTACAGGAAAGTGCAACGGAATTCGATTAGAGATCCCCATGGTAGCCATTCAGCTTGGCATAGGCGACCCAACTTTATGGCTTGCTCGCAGAGAGATGGCATAGGCGCCCCAACTTTCTGGACTCTTCGCAGAGAGATGGCATAGGCGCCCCAACTTTCTATTATTCACATGCGCTGAGAAATCCCGAGGGATGGGCCCCTTTTATTCGATCACCCTGTAGTACAGGAAAATGCAAGGGAATTCGATTACAGATTCCCATGGTAGCCATTCAGCTTGGCATAGGCGCCCCAACTTTATGGCTTGCTCGCAGAGAGATGGCATAGGCGCCCCAACTTTCTATTATTCAGATGCGCTGAGAAATCTCGAAGGATAGGCCCATTTTATTCGATCACCCTGTAGTACAGAAAAATACAACGGACTTCAATTAGAGATTCCAATGGTAGACATTCAACTTACGCAGCAGTGGGAACCTCATCCATATCGACTTTATAAAAAGTAGCTTGTGGATAGCTAGCTGAAAGCTTCTCGAACTCAGGCTCAAACATCTTGGCACCAGTAGACCACTTAGTTGAGAACCATCCAACCATCATGTGGGAAGTCTGCTTCAACGCCTCGTAATCAGCATAGTTCTCTATTTTCTGACAATAACAACATACGAATGTCACCATATTTGCTAAGACTCGAACACATCATAAACGCCCAGCCCGTTTACCCTGACAGTAGCAGCAGTAGTGCAAAAACGTCTGGCCAAGGTCTGTAGACCAAATCGCGACGAAGCAGAGGAAAGCATGAGTGGTAAAAATGTGGATTCCTCTACAGAACGAAGGAGATATTCAAACGGCCGATTCTGCGGCTCACACTTAGCTCATCAGAAGGAATATCATTAAGTCTCAGAGCTGGTTCATTCAATACCTCGCAAGATGTTCCCAAAGTACACCCATAAACAGTGTCGAAGTAGATGTTCCCTTTCCTCAGTTGAGTCCAAGAGTTTCCTCACTACTTATAGAAACATACATCAAATTCGCGTAGAAGTGTACAGAAACCAACAATAATGTCCCAAAACATTCTCAGAACTTCCATATTGTCACCAACACATGTAGTCGCCCATCAGGTCAGACCATGTGCATATTTTCCCAAACTTGACCCTTATTTGCATTAAATTTTTTCTTGCATTCTTTTACAGCGAACTCTGCGCACTGCAACCCAACAAACGTCCATACGACTACGGCATGTTCATGCATGCACTAGTATTGATAATGTCAGTAAGACAATAAAGAGGAGGAGTCTCTCGCACTGGCGTGGCCCCTCGTGAGCAGCGCTCATTTCATCAACTTGCTCGCACATAGCGCGGCAAGTATCTTCAAAAACCTCAACTTGCTCGGACTTCTTCATTAAATGTTGGTAATAGTCGCACTAAAGAGAGATATCCTTTTCGAATTCCCTGCAAATGTGCGCACTGAGCTACTTACATCATCGTAGCAGGTCCTACTTTGAACCACGTATCGATTAAAACAAATACAACATGTCAAAGTAGGTTCATCATTGTTAGTGAACATTGCATCGGGTAAACGGTTACCATGCACGTCAAGAGCGTCTGGACTGTCGCACTAAAATAGGAAAGTTCTTCAACATGAGCACACATGAAGAAAGCTCGCCCGCTCTGAACGACCCTTACAGTTTCATGGCATTGCTCTCGAGTCTTGCCGAAGAAATTGTTCGTATTATACCTACATGGATTGAATCCAAAGTCCATTAGAAACAACTACGGCTACTTACGGCATCACCCTCTGCACTCCTAGCTCAGCAACCTTAGCTCCGTTATCTGAAACACGAAAGGGATATGTAATAATATACAGGAATGTATAAACGCCAATACGGGATAGCGGTAATAATATATCATGATTATAAATCACTGAAGAATAAGATATATCAAATTCTGGATAATATGTAATGTTCACGATGATATCTCTCGATTATCATATTATAGTAGACAGGTTATTTAACATGAACGTAATCGACGTTTTGCGAGAGGAAGTATACCAATAGACGGGGCGCTTACCTTCCTTGACTGGCTGACCTTTCATCATAGTCGGTTGTGTTCCACCTAACAGTGAGAGCCTCTAACATACCACGATCACCGAGGCCTCAGTTAGGCTGAGTGACTAGTATCAACGAGGTCCCGAAAGCTCACCATCGGAGGTCTCCTCATCGTCTTTGCCGTCCTCTGCGGCGGCGGCAGAATCATGTTGGTTGCCATCCTCATTTTCTCTTCCGCTTGCCTCATCAGCGTCTTCTCGGTGGCGTTCAGTTGTCGGCCGCTTGCCCGATTTGCCCCTGTGTCTTGTTCGAGAGCCTCCGCCCTCACCGCTCTTGTCATGATGGTCTTCATCCTTATGATGATCATCGTCATCATCATCATCATCATCGTCATCGTCGTCATCGTCATCGTCATTGTCGTCATCGTCATCATCGTCGTCATCATCATCGTCATCATCATCGTCATCATCATCGTCATCATCATCGTGGTCGTGGTCTTTATCATCATCATCGTGGTCGTGGTCTTTATCATCATCATGACGTCGACGATGCCGGTGTTTCCTTCCTTTCTTGTGTCCTACGAAGAGAGCGATCAACATCCTGTGTATCCCCCGGGAAATTCGCGTTTCAAGTTCGATTGATCCGCAAGATGTGATCCAAGAACTAGTGGTGATCATTTAGATCTGTGGCGATGTAACTCTACTAACATACACTATTATCACTCCACTAGTTCAGCTCGATAAACTGCCTACCTACGTAACAGAAGGCCGCGAGTTCGAATCCTGCACCCGCTACTCATGATTGAAGCTCTTACCTTCATGATGATGCTGCCCTCCTTTGTGAGCCTCTTTCCGACTATCTTCTTCCTCATCTCCTCCACCGAAGAACCACCTCAACAAGAACAACCAATTCCGATCATAACACACCAACACTAACTACTTACGATTTTTCCTGCAGCCAAGAGCCCCGCAGAACATCGCGTTTCAAGGGAAGGCGGCTTCTAAAACAGAGCACGTTCAGCCAGGTCATGAAAACCATCATAGAGAAACGATAGCTTTCCTTCGCACCTCTGTTCGAGCAAGGACGACGTCGGCATTATCTTTCCATCTAGCTTATGTGGAATGTCCGCAGTCCATAGATAGAGCTCCGTTGCAGCTCGTAAAAGTCTCATCCAATGTACATTATGCCTACGAGGTCGAGTACTTTCGTTTCCACCTCCCGGGACTATGTATGGTAACTCAAGTCACACACATACTTTAGTCGAAACCTCGTGCATCTGCACACATTACTCATCATAAAATCGACCGTAGAATGCTAGAGCTGAGACAACCATAATTGAAGTTAACGTGGAAGCACACTGAGGCAGAAGTGCTGAACACAATAATAGTAATAATAACCAACAACAACAACAACAACAACAACAACAACAACAACAACAACAACAACAACAACAACAACAACAACAACAACAAAAACAACAACACGTACCCCCTATATTGACCAAAACCAACACGTCGGTATACCAGTAAGGGAAACAGTGAGACAATGAGACTCGCCAGCTCATTAAGGAGGGGTAGCGGATAAACTCCCCTTGAGATGATGTCAGAGAAACAGTGAATAGGCTTCAACCCGTATCGACACGAGGATGAGCCAAAGGTTCCTCTCTTAGCACTGTACAGGTCTCAAACCCACCCCCCCCCCCGCAGACTGAGACCCGTGAGTCAACGTTATTATCATATCGGGGGAATACTCTGATATGAATTGAGTAGATGATCACAACACACTTACCTCTTACGTGGCATTCGTCTTATCCCTATTGCCAAGGACGTCCATTTGAAAATGAAAATTCCAAAGAAATTTTGGCTAATTCTTATTAGTGTCTGTACACTTCTTCCCGATTCCATATGTAAACTTCTCGTCAAGAAATGCCTGAGCTCAGCTGAGGAAAGTAAACATATATTCCTCTACGAGAACTGCACAAAACACCAGTACCTCCTGGTGTTTCGAGATCGGTCACACTGTACTTGAATCAGCAAACCCCTGGGGGGAAAGGCACTCAATAGTTCCGCCATACCTTGACAACCTCAACTGTCATCAGATCATGATGCTACTCTTACTGTAAAATGACAGTGACAATTCGAACCGTCGTATACTAGGCCATGATAGTTACACTCTACATCAGCACTCGAGCAAACCCCTTCTCACGACTCGGTAAATAAAGTGAAATATTGCCCTCAACTTAGTCGTGATTCACTGCAATACATATACAGTACTTCGCTAGAGGCCCCCATCGCCGACCATGTCAGTTCTTCACCCTACAGTGCTTTCGTTTCCAGATCTCCTGCTTCCCATTCACAAGGGCAGATGGCATTCTCGATCTGACATTTATTGCCCGAAAAGATGAATTACTTCGCTCCGCCCGCTCCCAGTAACTCCTCAGCCTCAAAGTCGCAGTGAAACGATGGTAAACGGTCATTGTAGACCACCACGACTGGTGATACTCTAGGAACGTACATGACCACCACTGGTGATAGAATGCTATACAATGACTTAGTACTAGTGGTATCATACTTTAACGTGATTCAATCGGCTGTCTTTGATACAGTCTCAAGACAGGTTGAGCTTCGAAGGGCTTCAGTCTGAGTCGGAGCCTTCCTCCTCCTCCTCCTCGTCGTCACTCTCAGAGGCCATACCATCCGAGTCCATAGCGACGTCGTTATCATAGGCAGCATCGTCGTCTCCGCCGTGCCTGATCACGAGCCTTAACCCACAACCCTAGAGGGCCATTGATAGTACATACTTCACCAGAGGCTCGGCAGGAGTCTGCTTGGCTGAGTGCTGTTGAGTAGCAGTGCATACGTTTATAATTGCTTGTACTCTACCATGCAGCTTCGACAGAGCAGAGAAGTAGGCACTACGTTGATGGAAAGACTCCAACAGAGGAGCTGAGGAAAACCCAAACACAATATGACGGAACAGGAGGAAGAGAACCCTAGAGTACCGATGACTGCACTGGTGTCCTCAGGATGCCCCGAGAGATACCCAGCATGGACCAATAGTAAATTGCGAGCCCATTCCGCAAGGACCATGGCTCGGGTCGGGGACTTGTCCAACGCCACGCAAATGTGCGACAAGATCTGTGCAGCCTCAGGACCTGAGCGCTGGGACTAGGAGGAGACCATTGATACGACGGAGCAAGTACCAGTTATGTCCCTAGCAGTAGCTGCCATAACGGCATTATTAGTCGTGTGAAGGACCCGGTCGAGGGCCATGGTGTCCCCACCAGCAAGGCCCTGTCGGGCGAGTGCAGCCATAGACGCTGAGCCCGAAGACCTGCTAGTGGTATCCACTGGTGACCTCTAGAAGGTATCAACTTGCCTCGGTTTCTCAATTGCTCGAAGTGCCTTTTTCTCAGCGATAAGCTTCTCTTCAGCCTCCTTGGTTCGCTCGACCAGAGCCTAAAGCGCCACTATCACCCCTAGGGCCGATCCCAGTACTACTTCCATCTGCTCCTCAGTGGCCGCACGCTTCGTCGCTGGTGGCTGCGACATAAAGACTAGTAAATGAGGGACTGCAAGCCTGTTGACAGTAATGGTCACGCAACTCAACCATTCGAGTCAGTTGCAAGTAAGCGCCAACGGAGTCGTGGATCGGTCCCTCGCCTCGGTGACTCCTTGTCTGGGTAGACCCTGCGAGTTAGGGTCAGTCCGAGCTCACGTATTATAATTGAGATCACCCAGCATGCTTGATTGCAGTGTGCATGCTTGTCTACGGGCCACATCGCTCTCAGAATGGGCATCAGGCCGGGGCACGCGCCACGAAACTAAGCGCGCGCCATGACCGTGCACTAGCATTTCCCAAAGTATACTCCCCCCAACTGGTTCCAGTGTCTTATCGCGTTACTGGATGGTGAGTTCCAACGAGATCGAATGTGAGATCGAGCTGCCAACTCTTACATCCACTCAACGAGTGCGATAGAGGGTGGCCCATACCTCACGTGCTTCCCCACCGAGGGAGAGGTTCTCACCTCGGGTTCATCGCTGTTGAACTGTGCATTCTAAGTCCCTTAGAGAGGGCTGTCATGCCGGGCGACCCCGTTTGCATTGAGAGAAGCTTTGGTATTGCATCAACACACTAGGACTCAAGACAGCTGGTACTATACAAGTAAGATCTACTACTGCGCTAGTACCTTCAGGTACTCCGTAGTAGAGTAGTTCCCCTGCATGTGTCTGCATGACCACATAGTACATGGAGTCCATATCTCAAGTATCGACTATAAGCTGGTTGGACGCCGCTGGTGTGTGTGATGACTCATCGTTGTCGATTGTCTTTTACTCGGTTACTCTCTACTGTACCATTTAGCCGTAGTCGGGGAAGTCGTAGCCAGGGTCACCTTTCGTCGTATTTGCTAGTGGCACTAGTAAGAGTATGGGCGATTGATCCGTAATGCTCGCGAGAAGCTTTGCATTAAATGATTCGGGTGTAGTAATAATTTTGTTGATATTTTATTAAAATCATGGCTATAATTAGTCTTAGCGATAAAAATAAAATAATAACCAAAGGGGTAGAAAATTGAACTTATCGGTAAAAATTAATTCGGCCTGGAAATACTATAGACTGGGAAATCCACACAGTAGTTGTTACCAATGTCGAGGAGGCGGAGGATGAGAGCGTCAGGCTCTATGTCTCCTGAGAGGTCACTCTCAACCACTTTCAAAGAGGTCACCGTGATCGACAGGTGTGACTGCACTGAATGCCTTAGTGTACCACTCGAGCACGATAGATACCACAGCTTTGACGATCTACGCTTGCTACAGTCAGCATGTGGCTCGAGACGAAGCCCTACGAGGCTCGCTAGTCGCCGAAGCAAACGTCACCAATACGAAGGCTATTCCAGAGACAATACTGTATTCAACGAGCCGAATAACGCGATACTCGATGAAAGCAAACTGAAAAGTGAGCGGTCCCTTACGTGATAGCATCAGTTACAAATGTGAGCAGGCAAAAGCGCTATCTTGAGCTCAAGGATCATGGCCCTGTGGAGAGAGTACGTGGTCCATTCTCGTGGATCGTCCTCCGATGACGACACTGCTGACGTGGGTCATCTTTCTAGTAAAGCCTTAGCTTGACCTCCCCAGTAGAAGACATTCCTTAGTCTCTGCTGGCTATGGTATCGATGAGTGTTACACACTACTACGGCCGAGCATAGGAAGCGAGCACTCTCTATGCAGATTGGCTAACCGTATGACCATGGACGCCGATTACGAATGGCCTAATGGCACTTTCCCTCAGTAGCCTATTGAGGGTCTTCCGCGTTGTTGACCCCATCTCAGACCACTACGAATCCGATCTCCTGTGAGACAACAGGGTTGTACTGTTCCGCACAGCGGTGCATTGCGTCCGTCCTATGCTGCTTACACAGAGTGTCTACTTGAAAGTGTTGAAATTGGCACGATGTACGCTGCTGGTCTGAGAGTGGTATGCACAAGCATTCGTCTTATTTTGCTGCCACTTGGTACCCCGCAGGTCTTGCATGTAATTCAACAACGGCTCACACCCGTACTAGACCGAACTAAGCGCTCTCACTGGCCACGTCAAGTTGCATCTTGCATCAGTGTAGGGCTCATCACAGCTTTCCACAACACACTCAATTTGTACTTCCACCGAACCACCAGCAGACAATTGAAAGCATGCGAATCTGGTAAGAGGCGCTCCTGCCGGGGATAGACAAACGCATCACGCTAGCAGGTGTATATGCGATGCGAGGCCTCCTCACCGGAGCCATGGCTATGATTCCACTCGTACTGTGTCCTGATCCTTACATGAGGGCATCACTCTCGGCTGCTATCATCGCTAGGGCGGTTGATATTGTGGCGATGCGCGTAAGACACCCGTGTGTGTTGGTAGCAGTTACTGTGCTGGCCTCCAGCTGCTCATTCGAGCCAGGCCGTGCTTGACTCCAGGTGAGGACATCAACTCCTTCGAGGAAGTATCAAGTGAAGGTTAGAATCCACGTTGATCAAACTCATGAAAGCTCGAGTCAGAATCAGTCCCGACAAGGGAAGACTATATCCCTTGTCTGAGCCCACCCAAGAGAGCAAGTACATGCCCAGAAAGGGTACTTGTGAAGACCGAAGTACTCTCCATGACACAGTCCGTCGTGGCGAAGTTGAAGCGGCTAGCTCGGTTAGTGTCTGGTAAGTCCTCCTGTTGAACGAAATTGCCAAGAGCCTCTGAGGCGATGGGGTGAGTTACAGTAATCATATAACAGTGTAAGACTACCGTGATAACCAATAACTTTCTTTATGATGGTAACTTAGAAGGAGATCAAAGATCAGGATGAATACTGGCGTTGTTCCGCATGTTAGTTGCAGTACTGAGGAGGAGCCATTCGATTCTGGCAGCTGTCGGGCTCTACCTTGTGGTGAGCAATCAAGCACGATGGTCACTCGGCACGACTCGGTCAGACGTCCCCCCGTTTTGGAATCCTCACAGTGCCCACCATTGAGAGAGCGATCATATACGGCGGAACACACCGAGGCACTACGTCATCCACGAGCCATTGACTCATCGGTGCTTGTGCAGGAGGGGCTTCTTCTGCAAAGAGCATCTTGCGAGCGTTAGTAATCAGCATGGCCTTGCACTTGCCACCGCAAATGCTCCGAAAATCTTCCATCGTTGGTGCGGTATGTACCACGATTCGAGTTCTTCGGAATCGATTAATCTCAGATATCTCGTGATTGGCAGACGATTTCTTGCCGCGTGGCCTCGACTGCGTCGGCGTTATTGATACTGAGATGGGTAAGTTTACGTCCTTACGAAGTGAGACGTGCTACTAGCACGTCACAGGAGCAGCTACACAGCTCTTCACGTCTAGCACGGTGCTAGGCGTAAAGAGCTGTGTCGTAGTAAGGTCTCGAATCTTGGTCGCATGAGTAACAGCCGAGACTTGAACGGCTCGACTATTATAGAGTATTCAAAGTTCTTCTTCAACGGAGCTCTCAGGCCCCTGCGATGCTCCTGCGGGGTATTAGGAGTTTGGCGCCTGGAAGTCGCAGTCCGTTCGCGCGGACCGTTCAGCGCATCTTCGCTTGTTGGATAGCCGCCCGAGCCGCTTCGAAGATCCTATGTTCCCTCGATATGAGGTCGGTCCAAGAAGGGGGACAAAACGTATCGTCAGTTCATGCCCTAGGCTCATGCTTTCGATCTCGCTGATAGCGTGGCCTCTTCGGGTCCTATCTGTTCAAGCGATGGAGCGCCTTCTAAACTCGGACACTACAGCACTTCTCGACCCAGTCATCCTAGCGCCACTTCTCGAGATGATAGCTACCAAGACTGGTACTGAGACCAACAGATTATGTGGGGTATTTCCGAGTAGATGCATCCCGGCTGGGCCCGCGACTAGCATTATTCGGCTTGGAAGCGCTATGCGTAGGAGCTGCTGGAGCTGCCTTCTTTGACGCATACTTGCGACAACCACTGCTCGTTAGCGTTCTTGACTACAAGGTGAGCCCTTTGAGCGCCTTATTGTCATTCCCACAATTTTTCCATGTGTCCATAACGACCAAGTTCATAACGTGCGTTGTAAAACGGATATATACATATGATGTCTTAATCTTGGCTATGGATATACATGTGTTATAATCAGTGTTGGAATATACGTTCGCTTTCCTCAGCTGAGCTCGGGAGTTCCTCACTAATTATAGTACCTCGTGTACGAAGCAGGGCGGAAGTGTTCGAAAACAATAGAATTTCCCAAAATTCCCAAATGTTGTTACCGACAAATGTAGTCGCTTTGTGAATATTCTCTCACACTGGTTATTATGGATGGACCCTATTATCGCTAGCAGTATATTTTAAATAGATTTATAACTTCATTCATTGCGTTTGTTATCTCAGTTCGCCCGTCGACTCTTTGATGATGACAGGAAGCACATCTCCCTCTTTTACGATGGAGACAACCGTATTGCCCTCCACCAGGTCATTTGATCAACGCCCTGCAGTCAACAGCTCGGGCGACAGGCATGCTGAACTTCTTTTCTATCAATGTTGTATCCATTACCATTCGCTGTCTTGTTTTCGAGACTCGGTGTAGTGGTTCTCAGATCACCTCAAAGTGCACTGTTATGCTCAACGACTAGAGTAGAATGCGATAGATAAGAATACGGTCGGTATATAGAAATGTGTTGATAGCAGTACATGGTGGTGGATCAAAACTAGGCTTAACACTTGTTATTTCGCGGCGTGATGCACATCGTGAAACACTTCGCTCCGCTTCCAACATCTATCTATGCCCTTGAGATACCTTCCTCGCGGTTGAGTCCCATATCTTGTAACTCTCCCGACAGGCATAACACAATGCTATAAGACTGATTCTGATATTCGAACTATGCGAAATATCGCCAAATGCAAAATCAGCTACTTAGAGAAAAGTTATAATCACGTACAGGTACTTATTTTGTTCATCAACTCTCTTGCACCGCACATTTACAAGACGTGAACTTCTTTCTGCACTACTCTGTATGAGACAAAGCTAAGCAACTACCGTTAATGATTGTATTTTGCACAGGGCAGCGACACATTGTAGACATTCATGGCGTTCGTGTAGTGAAAATGACTTATTACTCTCAATGGAGTCTCAGGGAATGACTCTAACGCAGAACAACGATCCACAGGAAAATCAAGTCATATAATACGATAATACACAAAGTACAAAATATTCACAATAAGAGACATAGCAGTAATCATTTTTTCTGCGGGGACTTCTCACCAGAATCGACCTCGACCACCTCAGTGCCAGAATGAACCCCATCCGCATCACTCTCGCCAGCTTTATTCACTACCCGCTCTACTCGGGTAGTAGAAGCGGAATCTTCGGAGTCATCGAGATGCAGGAGATCAGTCTCTTGAGCTAGGAAACTGATGGAGGAGTCTTGCCGAGCACTAGGGGCCGCGGGCTCGTCCGGTTGGAGACTCAACGCTATTGCTTGTTGCATCATCATCTCCTCCTCATCCTTGATTTGGGGTAAACCTACGCATACCTCACACGTGGACGTCGAGAATATCCCACTATAATGATCGAGGGGCTCCTGGATTGGCCGTACCATGTCCAGACCGAGCGGCTGACGGTCACCACTCCGACTGTCCTAGACATACACAGATGTTGTTGACTTAGTACTACGAGTAGAAGTTACCTCACTACTCGATGCTCGAGGCCGTCGAGGCATCGGATTCGGTAGTGAATGCGAGCGCTCTAGAATATGTGGGGTTACTGATGGTAGAGGCTCTGAACACACGAGCGTTGAATCTCGAGTCGTTGGGAACTATACACAATTACGCCAACTCCCAACAAGTTCTGAACACTGTAAAGTGTTGAAGAAAAATATCGCGACAGAATCTGTGAAGAATTTGGGTCGCACAGAATTGTGATCTCCCTCAACTGTGACCTACAAAACTACACTCATATTCATTCACTCGCTCACATAGTTACCAAATTCTTGTCCCCTGCATAAGCTTCATAGAGTGCTCGAGCGTGGTGCGGTTTAATAAACGTGTCGTCTTCGGCAGCTGCGAAAAGGGCGGGTATAAAAGTCCGATCGACCTACGGTAAAATGACAGCGGAGCGAAGCGCGGATTGTTGTTACATGTTTGATAGGTACTAGGTCGTTGATATCAAAGTTGGCTCTACTTCTGATTGAATTGCGTATCATGCTCATAGCAATGTTTACAATGAATTTCGGTACTCGAAAACCACCAAATTGAATCACCAATTCTTCAGCTACAATACGCAGGTCTTGGAAAGGCGAATCGAGCTGAGGAAAATCAACATGTGAAAACTGAACAAAGAAAATTAATTTTCCATACGGCAAATACGCTCGACCGAGAGTGCTATGCTGAAACAAAACTTGGCGAAAAAAGATGTCGAAATTTTATGGCGCGTGAAAACTCCCTAAAATCACAGTTCGAAAACTACTACTATGGTTCTACACACTTTCAGCAGTGCATCACGGAGGTATCAAATACGATGTACACTAGCATCGACTGACCCTGTCAGGATAGCGTAGCGTACGTGGCATAATGCTATCGAACTGTGTGATCGATATGTATTTTCTCATAATGAGAATTAAGTGAGATAATTGGTAGTTATATTTTCATACAACAACAATCTCAATTCTTTTTGTTTCTCTACACTTCTACCCGAATTCGTATGTAATTATTGAGGAAACTTCTGAGCTCCGTTGAGGAAAGCGGACATATATTCCTCCAAAACTCTACAGTAGATATACACACTACAGCTCCACGAACAACAAGAGTCTCCAAATTTCAAGACATTTTTCATGGTGAATTCCCCCCCCCCCTGAGTGAAAGAGTATCATTACCACCATGCCTGCAATGCTAGGGTCTCTATCACCGTGTAGTAGTGCAGTCACTGCACCCATACTACGACCCCACAGCCCGATAGTGCCTGAAACATCAGATTTCTCACATTTTCATGAACGTACAGGATGTTCAAGAAGCCGGGCCCGCTCCTCGAAAATTCTCAGGCACCATTTCGAAGCTCTCTCTAACGGTAGTTGCATCAATTCTATACTCTTCATATTCGACAAGTTCTGACGATATGGAAAAAGTGCTGGCAGATCGCACTTCTCGATAGTCTGCTATTCACATGCGCTCAGGAATTTCGAGGCATGGGCCCGGCTCTCTTAGCACCCAGTAGAAGACTCACTAACAGTTCCCGTGGCCCTGAGATGCTCCACCACGCAGGCTAGATCGTCCTTTTCAAAGTACCTAGGTACAGAATTTATTCGATAATATACCACGAAGAAAATTATTATTATTCACCCCAGACTGACGTATTCGCCATCGGACCTCCCTGAGCCGGCGAAATCAAACGCGAATAATGTGATCCCGAATGGTAGGAGGACCGGCAGTGTAGCGATTCCCTCAATACGCGAGCTGCAGTTACCTAAGGCAATTCTCATGTAGTTGAGCTGAGAGCACGTGGAAGTACCGTGTAGATAGATGACACATGGGAGCTCTTTGGCTGGCCTGCGTTCGGGTTCAAACCAACTGCATTGTAAGTGTTTCCCATAGGAATTTTCCAGCACTAAATCTGTCCGGTGAATCTAATGAGAACTGCATAGTAATGTGGAACGTCGGTGAGAATGAAAAAAAATTGAGAAAATTTTGGGAGTTTTTTTGTTTTCCGAATTCGTATGTAATTATTAAGGAAACTTCTGAGCTCCGTTGAGGAAAGCGGACATATATTCCTCCAACACTCCAGAGTAGATATACATACTACAGCTCCACGAAACCATTTAGCCTCGAAAAATAACGTCCCTCAGGGTTTGATAACAATGAGAAAAATGTCCCTAACGTGATGATGACATTTACATGGGAAACTGATTGAAGAATGTGTTCCTAGCCATTCGTGGAAAATTCAAAATGAGTTCTCCTCCCGGGAACATTATAGGTTCCTGGATGATTCCTTGTTCCCGTTACTACCACTTGCCCTGCGATTCGAAACCGCTTAGGGCCGAGGTCCTTGGGCTCGTACTGGTCCCTGGGAGGCCGTATGATGGCTTTCCATAGCTCGGCGTACTGGTCGGAGATCCCCATTCAAACTCACAGGCGTAAAACAACTATGCTTATGAAATATGTTATTATATGTTATTCTGAGTCATTACACGAGAATGCCGAGTCTTTACATATACCACATCCCTGTGAATTTGCTTCAGAGCATATACCTGGGCTTAGCCGCTAATTTCGGATTAGCTGCTGAGTTCGCGGCCATACTCCTATACTGGCTATCTGCCTGGTGGAAAGGAGGGCTGCTCGGGGAAAAATATTATATGTTATTCAATAACCTCAAATATTCTTCATTTCGTGTTTCTGTTGACAGAGTGTTTCCTCTACGTTGGGAATATACAGGATTGTGTTTGTCTTTTTCGAAAAGTGACGAAGTGCCCAACGAGAAGGTAAATAGAAGTACAAATGCGAAGTTTCCTATGACACAAGATTGAGTACGGAGTGAAGTATATAAATAGTGACGTTAGCTTTGCTCTGTTGAAGTACCCTACCCTCACAAGGTAACTGTAGTCTGTCTACTGTGAGGACGAAGACGCAGAAAAAGACGGTCGGAGCCTTGCAGCAGTTGAGTTTAATGAAGGTTCACAACCTGTTTTATGTGAAGTGGCGTAATACTCGGTGAAATCCTCGATATTCGCGCTATGCAGTAGTTGTGAGATATATTTTTCACTAGTGTTTTCATATCACTAGGGTGAAACTCCAATAATATTCTCAATCATCAGGTGGTCGTTCAATATACCAATTTCGAAACTCAGAATCATTTCCAGAATCGCTTATTATACGATGCTAAAACCGATTCTGAATTGACCCACAATTGAGTCAATGAACATGGAGTAAATGAAGTCGTGTTATTCACTGTCAGATTTTTATACGAGAGTCTCTCTCTCGCGGCCTGCCACAGCTGATGGCGAGTTGGCTTTTATATAAGGTCGACGTACTCAGCACAAGGAGACCAGCACTTGACTGAGTTTTTTACACGAGATTAAAAACTCTGAATCGCCTCCAAAATCAGTATCCACATACGCCCCCCCCCAGGAAGACGTTGAGAACGGTTCCAATCAACGGCCACAGTGTGACGGGTAGTTCAAGAGTTAAAGCGTAGACCAGTTCTGAAACTGGATTTTTGTTAACCATTTGGGAACTCAAGGCAATGGTTAATGGAAGCTAGAGATTCTATTTACAATCATACTCATAAAACATCAACTATTTTCGAGTTCAGCTATAGCGTGTTCAATAGACCTTCAAGAGCCCAGCCAGGATTAGATATCACATGTAAAACTCGATCTTGGGAGGGATCCATTGAACACCCCACAAGGTTTCATAGTTGTCCACTCTGCACAACTACAGTTTTACAAGCCGGTTTTCAGAGCTGTGTTCATTGGGATGGGTTTTGAAATTTTTCCCAATCAGTTCTAAAATTAGTTCTGAAATTGGTTCTAGAACACATTCTTTAAACGTGTTTCCATCAAAACCAGTTCTAGAAGCAGTTGCCAGTTTCGGATTCCGCCGAGGGCAATCTTGCAACACTTGGACTATCTTGGATTTCCTCAAGGCTTCTCATGCCCTTGCGGCGGCAAGGGTCCTGCCGGGGCAAACTATCAGTAAGTATCTGAAGTGAACTGATTATGAAATTTGTCAGTGTTTTTCTCACTCGTGAATGCGGGCTTTGTAAAATTCCTACATTGTCAAGTATTCCAGGACCAAAATCATAAAAAAATCAATATTCAAATTTTTCGACTCTTGCGATTTACTCACAAAATGCGGTTTCGAGAAAAGCAGATTCGTAGGAGCATCTCTTCTTACCTCTATGTCTAGCGTCTACGACAGCGAGTCAATAGCTCGGGAATGCATGTCCTCCGAATCCAATACGGACGATCCTGTTTCTGGAACTACCTCAGTTCATGCAAGGATTTCCATACCAGTCGAGGACCTATTGCAACAACTCACTTCTGCTGAGAGTAGAGATGATGACAGGAGGATCATCTACGTCTCAGCTGAGCGGTCCAAAGGCTACGAGGCTAGTCCAAAGGCCACTATAAGCACAACACGGATGCCGATCAAGGCACGTGCAAGCAGCCTCCTCCACGTTAAATACAACTCAGTGTCCGCAAGCTATGAAGTGGAGCTGAATGTCGATATCGACTTACCCACCGGTGAAGTCAGTCGTCATATTCTAGACCATGTTAGGCCTGTGGCAGACGCTTCCCATGTGGGCGATCAACGCAGTACTCGTCGTGAGAATTTCTCAGATGTAAGTTAGCTCTGAATTTGAGGGTGTATGAAATTCTGTGAAGGTCCCAATGTCTTATATAAGGCAGCTTGGTCACGACAGCTCTACGGCTTGGCAAGGGTATAAGGCTAGCAACAAGTGGCACAGGAAAAAGCATCACGTTCGTTACGTCCTTCCTAGCAAGAGCATGTTCGCGCCAGACTCCGACTTTTTACGTGGTAGGGTAAGTCTCAATGCAGACGCTCCCGAGTTTAAGCCAGAATCTGAGTAAGTAGATAACTGCTGTATGATTTCCCTTCACATATTGCTTTTAGAACATGTCACGTGTCGTCCCCTACAGTTGGGTATGTTCCGATGAATGGTTGGGAGAGTAGACAGATGGAGGAAATGAGCCTCCCGCCTCAGGCGGCTGAGGTAGGTGATTGATATTTTACTTATTCGTGGCTTTGTGGTTGTTCGCAGTGTTGTAATATGTGTTTGATTTCCTCAGCTGAGTTAAGGAGTTTACTCACTAATTACATATGAATTCTGAGAGAGGTGTTCGGAAATCAACGAGAATCGCCTAAATTTCCTCAGAATTTTCGTATTGTGCATGTGTACATTTTTTAACACTGGTTGCTTGCAGGGACCGTTTCGCTGGCTGGAGGGCAACAACTCTACTGTAGGGGTGGACTTTGGGAGTGTCTCGACAACTGGGAGTTGTTATAGCGGTGTGTTCACGTCGAGCCCGCTGCAAATTCCCTTGGACATGCCGGAGGATAGATTTGACTCTTGGAGGACCACAACAACAGCACGTTTGCTGGAAGCTCCCACGGGCACTGCGTAAGAGGAGATTCGTGTGTGGTGATGATTGGTGAACTGTGTCAGGGTGCGGAAGGAATCGGGCGGATCAACCAGTGTGGGAATCGACTCTGGCTATGTATCGTCTCCAGTCACGTCGAGTAGTGCACGTTTTCATGTAGACTAACTTTGTATAATTATCATTATCATCTCACTAACTTGGTCCACAGCGACTTAGAGCGGAGTGGCGCCTTTGAGAGGATCGCTTCCACTTTACTATCAACCCTATGTGGTGTCCACTGCCTCATGCAGTGACAACTTATCGTATTCTGTTATTTACTTATTGTATGTACCATTTAATCGCATACCGTCATTGACGCACATGTCCGAGTCTAGTAAACTCGGCCAAGTTGTTGGTAGTAGTAGTGACCAGTGCTGACACTTCCTATATCACCTTTCTGTGAGGAGCCTGTTATTCATTCGGAATGTAATCCCACATGGGCTTTTACTTGTAGAGAGGTTCTCTGGCTTTGAGCCGTTCAAGGTGAATGTTACGGGTGCCTATAGCACTGTAGATGAGCTCATCACACATCGTCAAGTATTCGAACATTTCTCCAAGATGCTGCATAAGTCGGTCAATTGTCTTTAATCTCTTCATCGTCTCTGATCTGCAGTCGAGTGTTTTGGGTTTACTTGTATTAATATTACAGGGTGGAGCAAAAATGGCGATGGAGGTCCATTTATGGAGCAAGGTCAATGACGACTGAGACCGTTTGTGTAGAGGGGGGAGACAGTTGGATGTCGCAAAGAGCGCTAGATTAGTCGAGCGTTTGCCGGGACGCTAGAACTTCTCACTCGGAGAGGCCCAGTTGCTGGAAGTCAGTATCTGGTGAGATACGTACGAGGATTCTCCCGCCCACCTGCACCCTCTAGAGGTATAGGGGCCTTTATAGCTTCATCACTTATGTCATGATAGGTTTGGTTTAGACCAATGCTCTAACTATGACTCACATCTGCGACGATGATGTAAAAGGTGCCATCGGGAATTCCCCGATGGCACGGTTTTCAAAACCGACAGCACCAGAGTGTCAATCTCAGGTGTGTTTAGTCGCGGCAAATAGTGTGGATTATGGTTTTTCTCATGGCAACCACCCAAACCACTATACTTCTACACAACGGGATACTAGGAGGAATTAGCTCTTCCCTTTCAATTTCGCGGCGAGTGAATACAGAAGGTATCCTTTGAAAGTCGAAACTGCGGTTTTTCCCTACGTAGCCGGTTTTGCGTTAGGCGATACCTCAGCGCATAATACGAATATCAGAGCCGTTCTTACAGCGTTGGAGAGAGCTCGATAAGGACTCTCAAATGGTATTCTCTTTGTTCACAAACTGTCACTTGCTGCAGAATTAAGAGGAGTGGGTCCTTTTTTGCACCACCCTGTAGCTGCCATTCTTATGGAGTGTTGCCGTCGTATTTTTTAGCCTGTCTTGTCCCTGAGACCTGTCACAATGTTGTCCTCTGCGGTCGCTTTTGGCCGTCAACCTTTCTTCGGGGTGGAGCCATCTGCTAGACACATCTCCCCTTCTCATGAAACAGCTAAGACGTCGGCTCAGGGCACTGTGATTGTACCCATAGAGGCGCTGTTGAAGCGCATAACTGGTGCTTGCCATGCGAACGACCAGCGAGGACCGGTGGCGTACGGTGCTGATGTGAAGCCCAATGGTGGGGAAACTGTCGGGTGGTGTAAAATGCCTATGCACGCACGCGCAAGCGAGTTGGTGAAGATAGTATATGATTTTAAAGACGGCGCCTACTATGTCCAAGTTGAAGTGGAAGTGGCTATGCCGACGGCCTTCCTGGGGGAGGGAATATTAGCGCATGTTAAACCGGCGTGCTCCTCAACGATTCGGAATAATTTCCATGAAGTAGTACAATGCATTTTTTGGTAGGCTAGTTGGAGAGTGATTCAGGTATCAATTTCGCGAATTCGAGAAGTAGGCCGCAGTGGAAATGCAATTTGGCAATCGTATAAGAAGCGCAACAAATGGCAGAAGATGAAACATCGCGCGACCTACTTCGTACAGACCAATCCGGGGCTATCTCGGGTGGCAACTATCGAGAGTAGAGGGGGGAAGGTTAATGTTGACAATAACTTTGTGAACGGGCTTAATGCCAACGCGCCCGAGTTCAGGCCTTGTTCAGAGTACTAGTAGGGCTGGAGACATGAAAGGGCTATATTGTGTGGGTTTAGAACACCGAGTCCGCCATCAGACACTGGTGATAGGCATGTTGTTGGGGTAGGCAGCGGCTTGTTGCCAAGCGAGGTGAGTTCAGGGAGGAGTGGTATGCGCTATGCCATTGGCAGGTGGCGGCACTCCTGGGCGACCATGAAGACTGTGATGTGTTATGCAGCCCGATCGGCTGCCCACCGCTGGAGCATCGTCCGGACTATCACGACGGCTGGCGAAGAAAGATGTGAACTGATGTTGGATTGCATTTGGAATGATGTTATTTTAGTAGGCCTCATGATGGGGACTCATGGTTCGCCATGTCGATGAATGAAGGTCGCCGCTGTCGTCATACTAGCACTGCTGAGGGCAGTACTACTACTAGCAGCAGTAGCAGTAGCTCTGCACGTTAAGCCACAGATATGTGGTAGTTGCTATGAAGACATGTCGTGCTGGTATTGGGCATCCACCAGTTTCAAGTGCTTTGCTGTGTACCTGTGATCGTATAAGAACTATCATCCTCCATAGAGAGGTTATCGACTAAGTGGTTTGACTAGTATTTGATCTTATTATTATTATCATCAGGGGTTTGGCGGTTTTAAGTGTTTGCAGTGCAGTTTCCGATTATATTATGTACAGGCCCAGGCGTACTAAACCTGGACCAATAACCCGCCTCATCCCATGTTTTGTCCCTTCTGATGCTGGTCGCTGACTGTGCTCGCAGTAGCACCGGTAGCATCGGTGTTGTCATGGTGTGGTAGACTATTCAGTGAGCACCATCTCAAACCTGCAAGCGAGAGCTTCAGGATAACCTAATCCCAGTCGATGGTGACTTGTTGATAATAGATGCAATATAGTATTTCAGTCCCACATGGATGTGGTCAGTAATAGTGTTGCCATCGCCATCTTTCTATGCTGTGCAGGGACTTGTTCTTCAAGCAGGCGAGAAGCGTATCTTTAAATCTTCGCTGTGCGCAGAGAGATATCTATTGTTTTTAGGTATAGCAAAACTGTTCACGTTTCCATGAAGTCGAGTTTCTGCACTTGAAGTATTCGTGTACGAGTGAATTATAATCGATCACTCGGGCGCGCGCGACTTGCATTAACGCATTTCGCCTGGTCAGATCGAGCTCTCTGTTGTTGTATAATGCTTCGGGTGGCTGCTCGTGCTGCAGTACGTCTCGGTGGAGCCCACGGTCGTGAACTCCCCGAGTACGTGGTTCTGCCGCATAATCAGCAGAGGTAAGTATGATGTCGAGATGCTGATGATGATGACCATTATGAACAGGTACGGCCGTGATAAGAGTTACAGCTATTTCACGTGCCTCTGGCATTTCCCAAAGATGGTGTTCACTGAGAAATGGTGCTACACTAATATCATGTGGTTTGTATGTAAGCTGCAGTTCAGCCGAGTATTCGAATTCACAATTTCATTTTAGTTTGGACGGGCTTCTGGTTCATTCCCAATTACATTTGGTGGGAGAGGCGCTATGCTTATCAAAAGGCTGGCTTCCACTGGGAGCACACCAACAGGTCAGATTAGGTATCTCGTGTTTGTTCGCGACTCTCTGCATTTGTAGGAAATTGCAAGCACGTAAGGAAGCCCTGGGAATGGACAAGGTCCCTGCGAGTGGCATGGACTGGCCCAGTGGGGCTTTGTCCGGTCAGAAGTAGAGTTATTATCATGTTGTTACCATTGAGCCTTCAGCAGTACAGGTTGGGGATAGGCATTTACTGCTAGTCCTTGCCACAGTGATTGTCGACATGATAGCGCCTTTCGTCGTCTGGTAAAAAAAGATATCATCAATTTTGCTTAAGCTCCCTATGTGTTGAGTTTGGAGTTAGCTGGTATATAAGGACCGAAAAGCTCTCGTTTGAAATTCACTGATACGAGCTGTGATAAGGTAATTGCAGAGTTATGATAATCATGATTTTGAATGCCGAATTGTGGGTAATTGGTCGCAATACGAGTTAGGTTGTATTGGTAGCGTCAAACTGCAAGAGAGTCCATACGGGACTCTAGATGTGCATCGACAATTGTCTGTTTCTAGCTGCGAAGGCTTGCTCTCGTAAGGCTATAACTGTATTACTATTATTATGGGATTATCATCAACTCATTGATGCATTGCTGGTCGGTAAAGAGTGTGAGGGCGATTCTAAAGCAGATCACAGCTTTGCGCTTGTTCCGGTGGGGAAACGCTGTTGTATCTTTCATATAGCGTCGTACGATGAGACACTGTCTTGAGGGTATTTGATCAGTAGTTCCTTAGTAGAATAGGTTATGGATAGTATAGAGGCTATCGATAGTTAGCTGCTTGAGGATAGCCGCGGTGGGATTTGTGAGTAATGAGCATTGCTTTGTGTTGCAGGTGACGGTTTAGGTCAATCTGGCTGATTTTTCTCGGCCGTATCTTTTTCTTCTGCCCTGGGCAGCGTGGGAAGAGTAAGGTGAGGTAAGAGGATGTAACGTAGCAATGGTGATGATAGAAAATTTGTATGGATGATACCCTCAGCAGGTAAGTCAATGAACGTGACAGTCGGTGGCTCGTAGAGTTGTTGACTTTAGTTGTGTTGTTTCAGATGAGGACGTAGTCAGGACGTATACCGTGCCTCAATGAACTCACGGCGAACTGCAGATAGGAGGGGTGTTGAGTAGTTTGATCGGCAGATATCGTGTCGGCCTTTGGGCAATCTGGATAAGAAGAGGCGACGCAAGCTATATCAGGTGAGGCATGGCAGTGTAATTGGGACACTTTGGTGTGTGGAAGTGGTTCATGGGTCTTTGAGTGTGATGCAATCAAGTCCATGGTCTTCTGGTTGGAGTGGTATGGCAGATTCGCAATATGCTGATTTTCTCGTGAGAAAACTGTGTCAATGGGGACAGTTTGTGTTGAATCGCTGCGGGTCAGATTTTGCGTCCTCTCTTACTAGATTAACAACTTTGAGAATATGAGAGCAGCCACTCTTCGTAAGAAGAGGATCGTTGCAGTGACTCAGTGTACTGCAACGATAAAGGGAACGGATGTGGAGAGGCTACAGAAGGTCATTGAAAACAGTGTAGAGGTGATGAAGTCTGTTCTGTGATCGTTTTATATGGATTTGTGGTAGGTTGAATTTATGGTATAAATTCTACTAGTTGTTCTGGAGGTCAAGGGTTACTCTAATATTCAGGGACGTAGCGAAATATTATAGGCATTCCCGACATTGGCAGGTGTTATTAGAGAGAACTGGACGGAGAACATGGTGTGTACTACTTGCATGAGCTTTCCTTAGCTGAATAGATGTTGTTGTTGCGTCTGGGAAAGTGCGAGGATGTGTGTTGGGATATATGCTTGCTTGCTTCACTTGAGGAAAGGAGTTTCCCTGGTAGATTATGAAAATACACGTAGAGAAATCACAAAGGAATTGTATGAAATTTCATAAGAATTTTTATAGGCGTCGACTTTTGCAGGCACACTTGGAGTATGCGTGTCTGATCCGCTTTTCTCAGTAGTTTGACTCAACTTGCTATGAAGTCATCATCGTCAACGTCAAAGCCACTTCACGGCCGAGGAGCACCTCCGATGGGCCCCATGAAGATGGTGGAAGAGGAGTCGCAGTGCCGTCCGCGAGTCGGAAGTATAGGCTCGCCCACTAATGCTAGTCGGAAAGATAGGATATATAATCAAGAGTAAAAAGGCGGAGCGAAGCTATGGTTTCCGATAAGGTGTGTACTGTGCCAGGTACGAAGACGCTATTGCTAACTTGGAGCATCGACCTGTACCTGATATTACAGTCCCTTGGTAGCTTGGCCAGTTTCTTAGGATAATAGCAAACGGTTTCTTGTAAGGTTCTACGAATCACATAGTCTGTTCGTATTGGGCGCAGCAATGGTGATGATATATTACTACACGATAAAGCACGGCGGAGATGCTGAGACAAACGGTAAAGTCACTATCAAGACAATTTTGTTGGATTCCTATGCTTGTTAGACCTATCACAAAACCTAGTTCGTGGCCTTCCCTATGTAGTAGCGTTGTATTTGGTGGTCGGGCTGTTCGCATTCCCCAGTGGTCCATTTGTCCGACCCCATCCTGCAGTGTGGAAAATCGTCTTTGGTAATACAAAATCGCAGAAAGTTTATGCTGATACGGTACTGTCCTGGCGCAGGTCTCAACTTCCTGTACTTGCTAGCAGTAGTGTGGGCGCTATTCCTAACTCCTGAGCAACTCAGAAATCTACTGCATGGCTTAGATCCCTCAATGGGAGAGTAAGCATTCGGTCAGTTTTGGAGGAATATATGTTTGCTTCCTTCAGCTGACCTTGGGAGTTTCATAAATTATAATCATATATAGAAGTCACTGAGAACTTCGCGAAATTCCATCAAAATCTCCATATTGTCACCAACGCATGTAGTTGATCATGTGTGTATTTTCCCACAGTGCTCTCGTCCCGTGTTGGAATATATCTTGGCTTTCCTCAGCTGATCTCAGAAGTTCCGTCGGTCATCATGGGAGCTTATAAGCGAATTCGGGTAGAAGTACTCAGAAACTAACAAGAATTTCCCAAAATTTCCATTCTGTCACCGACACATGTAGTGGACCATGTGCATTTTTTCCTATCACAGGTGGCACCCTTTGCCCTTCTATGCGGAGGACTGCGATTTGACTTGGGGTAATGTTATGTCGAAGATGGATATGTAAGGAATAGTGTACAGTAGTTGTCGTTACTGCATCGCTCCGCCGGTTTTCAGATTCGTATTTGGTCACTTTTTCGGATGGATCGCCAAGGGCTTGCTCTTCCGCAACAGAATGTTCTGTTGGTTCTTTTCCATCGGCTGGGAATTCGTGGAGAAATCTTTGGGTAAGGAAACGCTCGTCGCACTTTCTCGTAAGAATTTGTTCGTGCTCGCCTTGTGGAATCTCCAGCATGGTATTGGTCAAACTGAGTATATGTATATCAGTGAAAGTTGATGCACATAAAACTTCGCGTAACGAGAATGTTCACAGGCAATTTATTAAGTGAGTGCGATGAATAATTTAGTGTTATTGTTGCTTGTTTTCGATGTACGTCAATTTTGATGATACGCATTTTTTCATTGTTTAGTATTTGCTGTTCCCAACTTCGCGGAGTGTTGGTGGGATTCATGGATCATGGACGTTCTCCTATGCAACGGTATCGGTATTGAGATCGGGTTGTATCTTTGCAAGTAGGGCAGGTCGCTGGTTCGATCCCTGGTAGGCGCATTTTTCCCCAGTTACCTTGAGTTTAAGGAGTACCATTGGTCTAGCATTTTCGATGCTCCAACATTGAGTGCGAAGGTACTGTCAGAGTTGATGGAGAAAAGCTACTGTACTTGTCAATTTCAGCTGAAGCGTTCCGTGATGCAGTTTACACCCGAGTCGTGGATGCACGTTGAGTGGGAAGACATGCTCACTGTGAAGAGGTATTTTATGCAACTTTCACAGCTTCTATTATTCTCGACGAGCATTTCCTTGCAAGATACTTTGGCATGCAACTGATGATGCTCGTTTGCATGCTGGTCGACCTAAATCTGTTTATGTTGAAACTCAACTTGTACATTCCCACTGAGCACCCGTTCGTGCTGGTAATATGCACTACACCGTTTCCTCTGTCGTAGTGATAGTGGTCATTTTTATAGGGTCGCCTTGGGCTCATGATACTAGCAGCTATTCCCACTGTGCGCCAATACTATATGTACATGTTGGACCCCAAAGTCACAAGGCTCGGCACGCAGTGTCTGGTATGCACTCACGTATTATTGAATTTAAAGGCTCCGTTCTGCAGGTCTTTTGCTTGACAATCGTGAGTGAGGATGTTCTCATCTTCAAGACGCTTCCTGAGCTTCCACCTATCCCTAAGGAGAATATGGTGAGTAGTTGTTGATTGAGTTTACTACATTCCCTGCTTTGTCGTTTTCAGGTTGGCTGGTGCCTCTTCATAGTGCTGTACATCCTATTCAGCGTCTCGATGCTCTTGAGGCGTGGTAGACCCAGTCAAGTGAACGCAAATAAGAAGTCACAATAAGGATAGATTGTTGATAGGAGCTCGGCCGTGGCTCCACTGATGTTTCTATTGTTTCCCAAATACTGCAAGAGTAGACGATGTGGTTGAAGGATCATGTTTGCGTTTGCAGTAGTGTTGGGGGGAAATGGCTTAGTTGTTTTGTCTTGCGTTTCTGCTTGTTCATGCTCATGTCTGTTCCCAGCATGTGACCTTCTAACCCTGCTATTGTAACGGGGAGAACAGCGAAAGGAAGCGGAGACAGGAGCAATGTAGTAACACTCTCTAGGAGGGAAAGGATCGAGCAGATTGTCGTTGGGCTATTGACTTGCGGGAAACAATGATTGTTTTTAACGATGCATATGCAGCATCTTCAGGTCAATTTGATATTTTGCGAGAATTTTCAAGAATTTTCCAATTTTTTCATGAAAAAATGTCCTTTTTATCAAATTTTGCCGTCAGTCTGTAATACATTACCCCAAATTTTAATGAAATTGCTGATCATTGTGAGAATGTATCAGCATCTACTGACGGAACATTTTTCGTGAGGATTTGTGATGCCCTAAGGTACGTGTCGGTGTCCTCGCTCTACAAGGGGCTTTCTCCGAGCACTGCATTGTCCTCAGCAACCTGAGTACTTGCATGACAATTTCGTGGCGCGCGGTAAAATTTGCTCGGCTAAGGTTCGCACAGTGCGAATCGCACTGTGGCTGAACTGAACGCCTATGACGGTCTTATTGGGGAATCAACGGTTATGAAGATCGTCTTGGATGACGGGTAGGATGATATAATCGATGGAATAATGTAATGGGCAGTATCTTTCTTTGATAGTAGTGAATCATACTCGGGCTTATACTCGGGCTTCAAGCTGAGTATATTTTACTCGCTAGAGACGCGTCTTGTAGCTCGACTTGGTTATTGCAAAATTGTAGTATGAGGGAAATTGGCGAATCGGATGAGCGGCTGGCTCTTGTCCGGGTCAACCGAGATCGATTCTTGGGTACTGCTTTTTGTTGGCTCCTGCGCGCGTCTCACTAGTTGGTAAGTGGTCGGATCACTCATGGATCATGATGTATCAACTTCTCTGCTGATCCGTGACCTACAATCGCGTTCTTAAACTAACAGGGTCATGGGTGCTGTGATCCACTTATCACGAGAATGCTCTACGATCCTGCATCATGATCTCAATTCTGCTGGTATCCGGTTCATGCCATAGAATCATCATATTGATCTCATTTCGTGATTTTTTCTCAGGATCACGCGCTGATCAGGATCCGCATACCGGCCGAGTTGTTCGAGATTGTCAAGATTGATGAGGCCAATTAGACACATATTGCGGTTCTTGTCCAAGTCGGATGGCTCGGGGAAACCTCCTCCATCGCCCTCACTAAAATCTCCGTCGGGGGATGGATCTGCGGTTCGCGAACAGCGAGTACTTGTCATTGGAATCCTCTGTTCTATGTAATTTTGTGAGCTCCACCAACAAGGTTCGGAAGAGTGTGTCTGATGGGATATACCGTATGTGAACTGATCACTGATGAGCGATTGAAACTTCCGGCAAGGGGACGATTCTCTTACTTTTCTGGCAGCAGGTCTGCCTCAAATATGTAATCTGCCCGGGTTGGTTCAAGATCAGCAAGATTTGGCGTTACGGGTATTGGCATCATACCATAACATGCCAATGGCATGCGGGCTCGCCTCACTCTTGGCAAGAGTCTCTTGCCTCCCTTCTTATATGCCATATTGCACTCGCTGAGTCTGTCTGTGCTCGTTGGACTGTCTTTCTCCTGGAGTACTCCAGTAGTCGCACTGCTTTCACGAACTCGATTCATTGCCAATTATATTTGCATTAGCGTCGGAAACATTCTTATAGACACTGACGACTTCAACCTGATAGCGATATGCTTCTGATAAACCTACAGTACATACTGTCTAATGGTATGGACTCTACCTTAATACCGGATTCTCTGATACATGAGCTGAGGACAACTCTTACGCACGCTGGCTTGCCATAACACGTGTACAACTCATCGTGCGCACAGCCTTGAGGAGGAACTATTGGCTAGTCTTCTATCCTACCAAAGGCAGGTTGTAAGGGAATAACCGTCACATCCAATACATCTATTCGTATAGACAATGCCGCGATGATTACAACTCATGTCCTCACCCCAGCAAGCGCTCGCTGCGGCGCATACACATCTAAGGACGTCATGTACGCATGGTCAACAGCGATCCTGAAGGAACAATCAGAGTGTTAGCAACGCTGTGTTGCACTATCGTTCACACTCCAACGTGATCATTGTACCTGAGTCTGCGATGAGAATCATGATACTTCTGGTATTGATGTGTGGATTTGCCTCTCTGGTTGACGGCTCGGTTAAGCTGAGGCGCGCGGCAGCTTCACCTGTTTCATATCCATCGGGTTGTACCGGTGCTCACCAGCCGGCCTCTGAAGGCTTCTGTGCTGTAGGCACTATAGACCAATCAGATGTGTTCAAGCTGAATATGACTGTCTATATCTTCGATATTGACGATCCCACCAAGTCTGTATATTTCCATATCGAATCGGCCACCAATGGTGGTGAGCCGGCCGGCCTCAATATCACCGGTGGAGGCCGCGCCAAGGTGTATGGAGTGGACATTGGGCCCATTGTCTTCGCGGGGTCTATAAGCGCTGTTACAGTAGGAGATGGTAGAGGGAAGTACGACCCTTCAACTTCCACATGGACTGCTGGCATCGATGTGCAAACGGAATACGAACGGTATGCTTTCGGGAAACGTACTTTTGATGCGTTTATTTCTAAGGTGGCCACGGCCCGTAATAGCTTGAACGACGGCGTCGGTCTCGGTGCGGTGCTCGGAGAAAAATGGGGAAACTCCATTTTTGGCTCGAGCATCACCGTGACTCTCAATCTGAATTCCAAGATGAGTGACATGTATACTTGGGATCTCTATGTTGAGTATCAATTTAGTATGTGGGCACCGCTCTCGCCACCTATTATATACGGCACCGAGTTGAAAAGGACCTTCAAATTGTCAGTACATTAGCCGCAACAACCGCTGGCAGTTACAATGAAGGAGTAAGGGTTCTACATTTGCCGATTTGACTGGTTTGTAGAACTATCTCATAAGCTGTTTTGAAGATGTATTTTTAATCTTGTTGTAGAACATCGAAAGTTCATTCATTTTCAAGCTTATCGGACATTATCGAGTTGTAACCCAGTTATGAACTTTAACCGGCAGTTCAAAATCGTGCTGCAATTCACAGCACTCGTTATCTTCAAGTCCAACTGCATATTCTTCTTGCCTGCAGCCTGTATAAAGCTTGAGGGATACTTTTATGGGTTGCCGGGATTAAAATATACACCTTTGACTCCAATTCGGGCTCGGCAATACTGTTTGGGACTTTGGTTAGGCACTAAATCAGACGGACTGTGAACCACTCGAGAGTTTGCCCGTACCTCACTATCACAGGAACCCGTGGTTGGCTAGTGCGGCTAAAGGTGTCAGAAGCGGATGCATGCCCCAACTCCAGGGCTCGAAGTGAGCGAGCAACGGCATGACGGATGGTGACGCACCATCTGCCCGAGTTCAGCTGCTCAACATCATCTGAGCCATCGTAAGACACGGAAAAGCACCTACTCTCAAGCTGCCAATATTGGCATGCGGGCTCGCCTCCCTTCTGATATGCCACATTGCACTCGCTGAGTCTGTCTGTGCCCGTTGGACTGTTTTTCTCCTGGAGTACTCCAGTAGTCGCACTGCTTTCACGAACTCGATTCATTGCCAATTATATTTGCATTAGCGGCGGAAACATTCTTACAGACACTGACGACTTCAACCTGATAGCGATATGCTTCTGAAAAACCTACAGTACACACTGTCTAATGGTATGGACTCTACCTTGATACCGGATTCTCTGATACATGAGCTGAGAACAACTCTTACGCACGCTGGCTTGCCATAACACGTGTACAACTCATCGTGCGCACAGCCTTGAGGAGGAACTATTGGCTAGTCTTCTATTCTATCAAAGGCAGGTTGTAAGGGAATAACCGTCACATCCAATACATCTATTCGTATAGACAATGCCGCAATGATTACAACTCATGTCCTCACCCAGCAAGCGCTCGCTCCGGCGCAAACACATCTAAGGACGTCATGCACGCATGGTCAACAGCGATCCTGAAGGGACAATCAGAGTGTTAGCAACACTGTGTTGCACTATCGTTCACACTCCAAGGTGATCATTGTACCTGAGTCTGCGATGAGAATCATGATACTTCTGGTATTGATGTGTGCATTTGCCTCTCTGATTGACGGCTCGGTTGAGCTGAGGCGCGCGGCAGCTATACCTATTTCGTATCCATCGGGTTGTACCGGTGCTCACAAGCCGGCCTCTGAACCCTTCTGTGCTGTAGGCACTATAGACCAATCAGATGTGTTCAAGCTGAATATGACCGTCTATATATTCGATATTGACGATCCCACCAAGTCTGTTTATTTCCATATCGAATCGGCCACCACTAGTGGTGGGCCGCTCATTGAGCCGGCCGGCCTTAATATCACCGGTGGAGGCCGCGCCAAGGTGATGGGACTGGACATTGGGCCCATTGTCTACACTGGGTATATGAGCGCTGTTACTGTAGGAGATGGTAGAGGGAAGTACGACCCTTCAACTGACACATGGACTGCTGACATCAAAGTCCAAGCGCAAGTCGAACTGTATCAGTTCGGAAAACGTACTTTTTATTTGTTCATGTCTAACGTGTTCGCGGCCAGTAATGATTTGATTTTCGGCGTCGATCTCGGTGTGGTACTCCAAAAACAATGGGGAAACCCCGTTATGAACATAACCATGACCTTCATTTTCAATCTAAATTCCAAGATGGATGACATGTATACCTGGGATCTCTTCGGTCAGTATCAATGGCGTATATGGGGGCCGTTCTCACCACCTGATAGATACACCACCGTTTTCATTGATAAAGAGTTTCAAATTCTCAGTACATGAGTCACAACAACCGCAGGCATTTACAATGAAGGAGTAAGTGTTCTACATTTGCAGATTTGACTGGTTCGTAAAACTATCTCATAAGCTATTTTGAAGAAGTATTTTTAATCTGGTATAACATCGAATGTTCATTCATTTTCAAGCTTATCGGACACTATCGAGTTGTAACCCAGTTATGAACTTTAACCGGCAGTTCAAAATCGTGCTGCAATTTACAGCACTCGTTATCTTCAAGTCCAACTGCATATTCCTCTTGCCTGCAGCCTGCATAAAGCTTGAGGGATACTTTTATGGGTTGCCGGGATTAAAATGTACACCTTGGACTCCAATTCGGGCTCGGCAATACTGTTTGGGACTTTGGTTAGGCACTAAATCAGACGGACTGTGAACCACTGGAGATTTTTCCCGTACCTCACTATCACAGGAACCCGTGGTTGGCTAGTGCGGCTAGCGGTGTCAGAAGCGGATGCATGCCCCAACTCCAGGGCTCGAAGTGAGCGAGCAACGGCATGACGGATGGTGACGCACCGTCTGCTCGAGTTTAGCTGCTCAACATCATCTGAGTCATCGTAAGACATGGAAAAGCACCTACTCTCGAGCTGCCAATAGCGCGGAGGCTGTGTGCTCTTCCCCTTCCCACACTCCCGTACCAAGGATTTTTACTCTCCATGAGGGACGATTTTCAGGCTACCATTATGACAAGCAGTAGAGAATACGATACTGATGGTATACCCAGGCAAGTGCATCGCAGAGGAGTGATATTCCCCATTCTAATACAACTTGGCGCAGTTGGACGCCTGATACTGTTCCTCTGCCGTAGAATTTCAATCGGAGGGGTCATTATCGTATTAGCCAACTCGTCATTCGCGATAAGCTTGGATACAAACCTCCTAGTCCCTAGATGTCACGCAAGACCTTATCCCAAGTGGACCACATATAGTAACAATCTCAACATGTTGAACGTTTTGCCTCCCGAATCTGTAGAGAAACTAACGATGGTCACGAAAACGTTATTTCAACAGTCCCATTATGGTGATATCACTCGTTCCAAGTAACTCTAACGCGACATGAACAATCAGACGTGTCGAGACCCGTGGCTCATAGACATGACATGGGATGTCGACGTGTCAGAGACGATCCGATGGGGCCTTCCATCCTATCAAATATTCCTCCGACTCTTCCGCTTCGATGGGCTACCACATTTAACCATAACAGATAAGGTCGTCAGAGCATACACACTTTTTTAACTGCTTTTCCGCCTCCTCGATTTTGCTCGTACTGCTCGCCTTGAGCTCGGCCCTCTCAGCTGTAAAGCGAGGATCTTCAACATCGTCATCATCAGTCGAAACTTTAGCGGTTTCACGTTTGCGACCATTGCATTCTGGGTCTGTACCTGTATCTCGGTGACTTTCCAGGCTTCGGGCCCAACTGAGCCCATCCATACTCCCAAGGTACGTCGCTTACCCGGACGAACACGGCAGTTCACACGGCCAAACTCCTTATCATCAAGCAGCTTGTTTTGCTCCCTTTTCGCTCTCGATTGCGCTTCTGTAAGGCTCTTGACTTTTATCTACAGAATAGCACTTCCGAATTGTCCGTCGAAGCCCCCTACGTGTCCTGCTTCGTACTCTTTCTTAACATGCTCACAAAAGGCCTGGATAGTCTTTGGGAGTCTGAGATTGATCACGACGACTCCCGAGACTGGGACTCATCAAATCACCGACCTGTCGAAGTACTTGGCCAAAGTCTGATAGCAATGAGGACGGGAGAGCTCCATCGGCTGCTCGAATGCCCCCAATGATTTGTTCGTCCTCTCGGCCTATCGTGAAATGATGGTGATGCTCACATGTAGCTACTACCCAACGGCGGACGATCTCAGCGTCGATCCTGGCCTTTTGCAATCTTTCTCTGGACGTGTTGTAAGCTTGAGTAGCCTGGATGTATTTCAATGAGTGATGCAGTTGAATCAGACAACGCCCACCTCAACGAGTTCCCGTTCGCGTTCATCTAGTTCCATGTACAGACTCCTAAACGTATTGACTGTATAATTCACAAGTATAGGCCTCTCACCGTTCCTCGTTCGTGAGCGGATCTGGGAGCTGTTTCCCGAGGGAGTCAGGAACAAACAAGTTCGCATCTGCCACCTCCTTACAGAGCCTGGAACTCAAGTGTAGGGATTTACCCGACTTAGGAGTGGTTAAATTAAACTCCTAAACTTTCAAATAAACCGGGTATAATATTAATTTTCTTGGCATTTTATCAAAGCCATGGGTAAAATGTTAACTTGAAAGGTAAAACATTAACCAAATGGGTAAAAAATCAAATTTGTCGGTAGAAAATTAATTTCACCTGGAAATGCTGTAGACGCTGGCCGCTCTTTCCAATACATTTTATGTTTGAGGATCACACTATGTGTGACCCATACCGGTAGCAATTAGAGATCTCATCATGAACATGGCTAACCCAGTGAATATCGACCTACCTGGCATTCTCTTCCTTCACCTCTTCGAGTTCTACTTCGGCCTCCGCGACGAATTGCCTCAACTGTTCCTGAGAACGACGCATCGCTCTAGTGCCATGATGGCAGTCCCTTCACAAGTGCAAGATCATGTCCGATGAGCTTTCCACAGATTCCAAGACTCCCCAAAAAATTGTGCGATAAGTTGTATACTACAGCAAAGAAGGAAACAGATAAAGTGAATGCAAAAAGTTGGCCATAAGGTGAGCACTGAACACTACCTGTTCGATCTCACGGTTGAGGAAGCGATGGACTATATCCATAACATCGTTGAGGCCAGTAACCTCTCGGATCTTCTGGAACCCATCCTCAGTTGCCTGAGACCTCTGCACCTGACATAGTTAATGTACTACAGTAGCAGGAGGGTCGACCAAACCTGTTCGACCATGGCTTTCTGTAGACAGTTACCGGTGAGCTTCTCCATAACCCACAGCTTACGTAGACGGCCAGCGGTCGCGTTGAAGGCCTGAGAGATCATCAACGATCTTCCGCTCCCCCTTCACATGTACGAGAGTACTTCATTGGCTGCTTCCACAGCAACACCACGCCTCCAGTTTTCTATCTCGGCTCGCCTCCTGATACTGTCCTCAGCCGACTGTAACGAACCTACACACGCTATACCACACCACGGAGAACTGACAGGATATGCCCACCCATCATTTCCTCTAGTGCATTCTCTCTAGCGGTCCTCGCCTCCTCCAGCTCCGCAAGAGCTTTTTCGTATTCCTTCGATGCAGTTTGTCGTTGCTCAGAGGCTCTACGAGCCATCGCAGACTGAATTACAATTCCTAAATTCCGTATACGAGCTGTTAGCCCACCTTGCCCTTGAACTCCGCCTTTCTGCGCTTCAGGAGCTTGTCCATCTTCAACATCTGTTCGCGCATATGGAGGAACTCATTGTTGATCCTCGTCAGCATATGTTCGTATACCTATGTACAAGTCCAACAAGTTCAAAATCAACACAATATTCGCACTTTTTTTGTCATTTTAGCTTCTTCGATTTGAGCGTATACTTCCGCAAGTCGATCCTCCAACTTCTTTCTGCCAGCTTCCATGCGAAACACATCGTCAACGTCGACCTGAAAAGGCACTCCTCCAACACGCCTTTTGACAACGACCACCTGTGAGACGTCGTCAGTGGATCGTATTTTATCGCGCAATTGCTCGAGCTCGCGTTCCCTGATTATCAACAATCAAGTCGACGCTTCATACCGTAACTTGAGAACTTCCTCTCAGCCTCAGCATGTACTTCATCGTATTGTCTACGGACATCAGCGAGAATAGCCTTAACTTCTTCAATGGGCGTGCTCCCAGAACCTAACAATTAACGAATACTCATAGTAGAAGAAAGCAAGGGAGTTCTCACCGAACTCCTCTAAGGCACGGTCCACCACACTGTGAAGGTCTTTGTTAGTTGTCGTTGAGTAGTGGGCCCGACTCGAGAGAAACCCAGACGGTCTGCGAAGAAGGACGACGAGTTGGCCGTGGTGTGGTATGCTCACTTGTGGCCAGCGGTATCTCTGTGAGTACGAGCAGTAACCGGCGCTAGGGGTTGGCCCTGAGAACAACAACAATGAAAGCGGGCATTTGCTGAGAATAACGATCTAATAGTCCAAAGACAACCAAGTTAGCCTCCGCTTTAGTTCTAAGTAAACTATTAGTGGCTTCCTAGTTCTGATTTTCTCACGAAAAAAGAGACAGAAATGATACACCAGGCTTCAAGCACTCGAAGATTTTGCGCCATTCGGGAAGGACACGTAGATGCTGCGACACCAGCGGGGATACATCACTGAGGTACATTACAACTAGAGTGCCATTTGGCAGGTGTTGACATACAGTTGCCTTCAAGAGGACAATAAGGAACAGTTTACAGTAAGCAGTAGTAAGACTAGCACATAGTAGTATTACTACTGAACGGTATTTGAAGTTGACAAGGCATGTTGCCACGTATGGGGACAACAGAGTAAGTGCTTGGCCAAGAGTTTCGATCGAATATTAACCCGGCACCTACCCGAGCCGGTGACAGCTTAGGCAGAGCTGTGAAGTTGCCGACTTTGGGTGCTCTATTATGCTCCTTGGCCACCATGCTGTTCAATCAGCAGTTCAAGAGGAGGAAAACAAGTAGACATCGTTCGTGCAAGTTTCGTGCAATGTTGTGAAAGTAGCGCACGCCCAGAATGTCATCCGGTGAGACGGTTTCGACTCGTGGCATTTTCAATTGTATTTTACCACTACAACGCACGAACAGCTGGATCTTCAGGGCATGAATAAAGTAGTACCGGTGTCAGCGGCAGTGCACATACCCTCCTCGACTAATGTAGCGGTATGTGTAGAAAAGCGCAGAAACAGTAGTTGGACTCGAGCTAATTATGAACGCCTTGGGTAGCGGTTTCAGCATAGGAAAGGGGATTTTATGAGCTATTTACATCATCATCATCATCTCACGGGAGCTTCAGTGGTGCTGAAAGCGAAAACAACAGCTTGTTCAGAAAGAGCTTAACAGGAAACTTTGGTAGACGATTGTTCGACTACGTATTATTCGAAGTGGACAAGGCCGAGCTGACTAAGTTGTGGTATGCGGTGTTTGCGGCAGCTTCAGAACCCCAGAATGATGCCGCAGTCATCTCTACTGCTGACACATCGATTGTTGTTGATCGGCTTGGGATTTGCAAGAGGATAGCTTGGTGCATGCCGTGATGGATTTCCGGAGGATACCGACTGAGAACGACAGCGCAGGGATTCCTTGGTCAAGGTAGGAGCGCTGGTCGGCCAGCAGAGTGTACTGTGCATGACAATGGTAAAGTGCGAAATTAACCAGTGTTTTGCGACCTATGATCGGCCTACAACAAAGGCTTTCCCTGTTCATAAGATGGTCCTGTATTTGTGAGCAGGGCTTATAGCTTTCTCATAGTTTGTCATCGGTCTGTGAGATGTCGGATCGATGATGATCCACATTCTGTGCAGTCTCGTTGTCTGTCGGATGATTCCTTAGGCTTGTGGGTGAATCTCGATTTGGACAGTTTTTACTAATGTCCAGCCGACTCATGGAAGTGCGTGAGCGGTATAAGCAACTACGTCGGAAAGCTTCCTATGATGTTTCGGTGAAATCTCCTGACGTTATCAAGCCGTCCTGGAAAGAGTCTAAGGTGCGAAACTAATGAAGGCGCACTGCGCATTGTCCCGTGTCGTCCCAGCGGCTCGTTATTTCGGTAGGCAGAGATGTCTGTCGAGGAATTGGAAAACCCCCTCCCGCGATATTCGCGCTACAGCGCTGCTCACGACGAGAGCTTCGAAGACTCGGTCTCAACAGCTAATGTAGGTTGTCTCATCAGCTACTGGTCCTCGCATGAGCGGTAGATACTGAATCCGCCGGTACAGGCTTTTGGCAAGGGTCTTGGGACAGTGGCTGCTAGTATAGAAGTACTAGGACATCGTGACCTGCTACGGGCTAGTAACAAGTACATTAATAGCAATAAGGTCGCCGAATGACAGCTCAGGCACCGATAGTAATGGAGAGGACTATTGCAACATCATATACGAACATATGCGGAGAACCAAGCAAACGCTTCCCCTCCCCACAGCTTCTCCATCGACCTCGTCAAAGGCTGATTTCTCGGATTGCAGTATATTTTCGAGCGTAGTGCTTCAGCCGTTAGGAATCTATCGTCGTGAAGTAGTATGTTCAGACGCTTCCATGCACAGAACCTCTCAAGACCAGCGAGGTTTTGCAGCCACCCTTGTGGTTCCGTGAGTATGGAGGAAAACACGAGGTTGGTGGATACTATCTGGGGTTATACCCACGAGTATTATGAGGATTTCGTTGGCTGTGTGGTCTAGTGGTATGATTCTCGCTTTGGGTGCGAGAGGTCTCGAGTTCGATTCTCGGCTCAGCCCATTTATTTTTCGCTCGTGGACAGTTCTCTGACGTCGTAGAGTAGCATGTTATGCCGCCTCTCATTCTCAGAACAGAGCCACATGCCTTGACGTTGAAGGTTCTATCGAGAAGAGAGAAGCTCGGCCAAGTGGTGATGTGATTAATGCGAGTCTGGAAACTATAAAGCTCTTTGTTGATCCGGACAAGGGGGAAGCGACGGAACTGCAAGAGGAAGAAGATTCCCTGGACCACGGCTCCGGCGATGATCTTGCCGCTGGTGAATCCATCGAAGAGGGAGGAGTTTCTGCTCTTCTCGAGGACGTGCCGTGTGCTTCTCCCTCGCCCAGCGGCAGTTCAAGTTCCCAGCACCTTGCTGGCAAGACTGCTGAGATCAATCTGATTGACTTGACCGTCCAGGAGGAAGACGAGGCAGAGATATTGTCCCAGAAGCGCTCATCTGATACGCTCCTCTTGAGCTCGAATCAAACACTCGGCTCCTCACAACTGAGCGAGACTGCATCCTTATGTAATCGAACCTATGTGGGTGCCGGGACGTTAGCGGCAGAGATCGGAGGAAACGCGCGGCTTGGCTCGTTCGATAATACCAGCCTCGCGGGGCCACCTCAAAGAACTGATAGTGGACCTGAGCTGGCTGCCGTGTCTGAGATGACGCCAGTGGAGCCGGCAAATGGTCCGGAGTCTTCCGCTCGTCCTTCCGGCCGCGAAATGACTACACTTCTTACTCAACGGCAAACTGTGGTGGCGGAAAAGAGAGTACAGGTGCGTCCTCAGCTACAAGATAACGGAGTGCAAGTGGAGGTGAGATTGTCAGACAGTGATCGAGACGCACACAAGTACTTCCTCACTGACAGGAGTCGGACCTATCCTCTTGCACAGAGTCCAAGAGCGGGGAGCCGGAGCCGAGTATTCTCCCGGGGCACCTCAAAGATAGGCTTCTGAACCAAGTAGCTCGGATGGTTGTGGCGACTCGCTGCTGATTGTGGTATGCACGTTAGCTTTACAAGAGGTGTTGTCACAGCCCTTTACGGTTGGCGAGACTTCTGAAGGAGTTCGGTGGTGATAAGAGTGAGTTGCCTCGAGTGGCAACGGGTTTGAGGGAAGCTTGCACCCGTATAGATATGATGGCAAAGGATGAGGAGATGCTGAGGCAGTCGATTGGAGTAGAGAGCGATGTGGGGCGGCGGCAATTTCATAACGTTGTTGCTGCTATGGTGGGCATCGTTGGTGATTCCGTACGTGGTGTCACCGTCCCAAGATAGGTACGGCGATCTTGTGATGGACTATGCGTCGGGCATACAGGTGGCACTGGGGCTAGGCTGCAGGTCTGCTTTGATGAGCTCATGGCCCGCAGCAGAGTGACAAGAGCGTTGGGTGAGAGTCGACAGGGCCACCAGTAGAAGAGGTTTGCTGGCGCTACTCAGATGATGCTAGCTGGGCTTCCCTGATGAGAGATGCTCTTGGGAAGGTGGAGTCCGTAGACCTAGGACAGCTGATCCTGGATGCGTCGAGGGCGATGGTGGAGCAGATGAGGCCTTGCAGTGGGTGTGCTGGAATCAGAGGAGTTGACTAGCTGGACGGGTGACAGTTCAGATGCAGTCACTGTGGGTGTCCAGACTCAGAGCTTCCGACTAGCGGTTGAGCATAGTGCGCCGTATAGTGAATTGTTGAATAAGTAGGGAAACTCCTCGTGGTCATTTGTTAGAGTGGACCGAGTCAGGTACGAGACGAAGTGCAAAAGGGTCGCCACGTTAGAGAGGCAGCTCACGAGAGCAGCAACTGTGATGGCGGCATCGAGAGAGGGGGTGAGGCTACACCAAGAAGGGACGGGTTACAACAGGCCCTGTAACAGACCTTCAAGGAGAAGGAGCTGGCCAGACAGCTTGAGGCGATGCAGGAGGATCGTGATAGGGCGACAGAGGCTCTTGCTGTGAAGGAAAAACAAAGTGACATCAGTTGCGAACGCACTACTGCAGCTGACCGGTGAGTCCTCAGTGGCTAAGATCGAGGAAGAATTGGAGGCGGTCAAAGAACAGTACGCGAGTATGGAATGTGAAGTCTCACGCCTTCAGCAAGCGCAGACTGCGGCATTTAAATTGAAGGTGAACAGCTACTCCGAGTAGCAGATGGACGCCTTGGTTGCTCAGACTGTTGGTTCTGCGGGCAGTTCCCAGAAGTGCGGTAGAGCAGAGACGAGCAGGAGTCAACCAGTGAGGTCGTCGGCGCCAGTACTGAGGACCGAACGATTTTATTCAGTTGGGCGCTGTTGTTGGCAGCCCCTGTGTGGCCTCGGCGACTCAGCGGAAGTCGAATGACTTTGTGTGAGGCTTACGACTCTGTTGGGCCGGAAGGATGTACTCCTGTCAGGTGCAGGCTGCTGAAGGCTGAGGGGTGGTCCATGGGCAAACTGCCCTCAAGGGCTGGTCTGCTCTCGCGTCAGCCGATACCGCATCGACGGGTCTTCAGAATACTAAGTTGCAATCTCGCTCGCCCGGGAGGTGCTCTCTGAACTTGACAGGTTCGCCGTGTGGTTCCTGGCGGCTGGTGTGGGACGACCCTGCGGCACCTGAGAGGACCAAGCGGCATCGGATGGTTCAGCTAGCCGATATAGTAGGGGATCTGTGTGGTCGAGACGATGTGGCAGACCGGGGCAGGTCCGTGTGGAGTTCGGGGAGACATCACAGTGTTATCGTCGAATGGCTGCTACTGGTAAGAGCTGGCCAGGAAGTCGCCAGGTTGATAAGGTGAGTATAGGGTCTTGTTTATTCACTGGGAAGCTGTATGCAGGGAGTCAAGCCTCACAGTGGAGAGGGGAGTGGATGGTGTATATCTCTGGTTCTTCGTGAGGGTGCCTCTCGAGCCGCCCTGGATTTGGTCCTACCGAACAGGAGTGAACTTGGCAGTCTCTGGTCGCCCCTGCTACACGCTTGCCCTCAGACGCGTTTGAGGTTTGGGTCCTTGGCATCAATGAGCTCTGTGACTACAGTAGTCGATTGAAGTCTCTCACGAGGGAGACGTTTATGCTCTATAAAGCCCTTAACGATGATGCTGCCGTCGAGCCAATGGGTAAGTAATTTTGCGAACTGTTGCAGTGTCAACTCGAAGTGTGTCTCAGCTTCGCCGAAGTGGGAGAGAATTGCTCTTGCACGGCATTGATAATTAATACAGTCATGCGAAGGTGAATGAAGTTCTCACAAGAAGGCTCTTGTGTTCACCCATGGGGCGCCAGTTTGGTCTTGTTATGGTCGTCTCGTCGCTGCATGATTTTCCTCGGATTAGTTTGTTTTAGAATCTTTATGACGTTTCAAGTACGCGGTCGCTTTCCCACGTGGACGCGCAGATTTAGTGGTGAAGGTCGCGGAGCACTGGACTCCTGCGATGGTCCTGAAGAAAGGCTCCCTGGCGGCTTCATGAGTCTACCTGAGCTCCTCAAAGACCAGATCCGCCCACTCGGTGCAAGGAACTCCGCCGGCCTTATTAAACGCATGTTGAGTCTCGACGAAGTCGACGCCCTCTTCGACAATATAGCCGCTAGCCGTAGAGATGCGGTGGCAAGATGATTTTTCGTGAGTAGTTGAACTCACTAGTTGGTCCTGGCGTCTCCGCATGCCTCTGATGACCTTTCAATGTATTTTAAGTCTTGTAGCATCAACAAGTCGACTGTTCGACTACTCATTATTCCTTACCTATGTTGCGAAGAACTCGTTTCTTCTGTTCTGTTGTACTGCTGGGGAAGAGTACTACAAGTAACTCCTCGGCCTAGTCTGCCATCGGAATCTTCCCAGACGAGTCCCGTCGAGGATCGAGTCACGTTGGGCTACGCAGTGCATACTATCTCCGCTGAGCCGTGATTTCCGTCACGATTCGATGCGAATTTTTCCATGTACAATTTTGACAGTCATCCATCTCTCAATGTGCCTCATATGGTGCGTCTTTTTGGCTACTAGTCGCACTGCACACATTTAGCTAGTCGTATGAATATGATCTCCTCAGACAAGTCTGTTACATACCGGTCTTGTTCTGATCTATCACTGGCGAGGTTCAACCGTGAAGGTCCTTGCTTTATACTAATGCTGATGGGGTAGTTCAAAGTGGAAGTCTATGAGATGGATGAGAATGTTGTGTTGAGGAGGGAGTGATTAAATGCAGATTGTATTCGTAGCAGCGCTCTGAGGGTGAGGCGTGGTAAACACTGACTGAGAAGGAAATTACGACGTTAATTACTAAACTGACAAGTGCTCGGAGAGAACCTGAGATCATCTGATTAAAAGTCAAGTGCTCTACCATTACACTATTTGGGAGGTATGAACCGAGCCATTTCGAGACGATTCTATGTCGTTGATCCAATTCTTGCATTTTGCCTTGCCGGTCTATATGAGCCTCTTGATAAGTAGTCGAGGGCTTTAACCTTGTCAGAACAGCCCTGAGCTTTTAGTTAGTATAATGAGCTTTGTCCGAAAGGATTCTCTCCGAGCACACGGTATATGTTGCCCATCGTACCGAAGGATAAATCTCACGCTTCCTACAGGGACGTGGAGTCGCCGACTTCGCTGGGTGTGGGCTCTATTAAAAGAAGTAGTAATGGCATTTTAACTCGTTAAGCGACAACGAAAGTTGTCGGATCTCAACTGTTGGTCATCCTAGTCGGTCTTAGTAGTTTGAGGGGTTATCGAGACGCTACGGGCGTTCAATGGGATTCTTGTGTTTGTTTAGTCTTCACTTGTAATAGAGAAAGACGGAGGGAAGGGATGAGAAAAATCCCATATCATCGGAGTCGGTAGGATTTTTCTCATAGGATTCTTTATTACGACATGACCACAGCCTTCTATGTGTTGGCATCGATATCGATAGTCATGGTACCAACTTAGAGTAAGAGGCGGAACCTGGATGATCATATGCCAACAAGGGGGACTGCGAGGCAGAAAAGGCATGATATAGGGAAAAGGGTAGTGTAGGGAAGAAGAAGATGTTGAGCACGGTTGAACTGATGCGCTGTTTCCAGTGTCATTTCCTTTTCTGTGTTACGTATATCGCTAATGGGGTGAAGAGGAAAAGACTAAAGAAAAGTATTGGGTGATCGGATAGAAGTTGAATGTTTGATAATTTGCTCAAATTTTGGGCACGATAACGTATGAGTAGTGTCGCCACTTCACCACCAAAAGTAGCAGTAGAGCACTATGTTCAAGGGAGGCCTAGGAAAGAGCTGTATGAGTATTGTCAGAAGAAAGGCTTCAAGCTTGACCTCCACTGTGATAGACGCGGTAGTATTGCCTCAATAGCTCGGGAGTTGACGAAGGAGTGGTATTGTCAGCCCCCACAGCACCGTGGATTTGCATTGCCAGTATTGGAGCCATTGGGAAAACTGCTGAGGGAACAGGTAGTGATGTAGAGCAACCGTGGTTGATCCTGAATGACCGTCCAGGTGCGAATAAAGCCAAGGCGGCCGATGAAGCGTGTTTGAAGGTTCTGCGGCTCTTGGGAGATTCACAGCTTTTGGAAGTAGCTAGCGGGAGGTAGTGCTGGGGCGGGTAGTACGTGGCGTACGGAACTGTGCTTGTTTAGTAAGAGGAAAGGAAAGAAGTCTGAAGGAGTTGATACGGCGGCAATGGAGTGGTAATAGGGGGGAGAAGGAATGCAATAAATTTCGTGGAAAAAATTTCATGTTTTGGTGAAAATTTTTTCATCGACTTCGATTGATCAAGAATGGTTTGCTAGGTATGAATGCAGCGATCAAAGCACACCACCGACGACCTCCTCCCCGGGCGGTACGGTAGGATCTGGAATTGGTGTGGTATTCCGAGATGGTCCCGCAGGGTAATAGGGCACAGTGTTTGGTTTCGTCACCTGAGCTCAGGAGTTTCCTCGATACATTGAAGTGTCACAGGCCGTGATATGAAAAACACTAGTGAAAAACATATTCCACGACTACTGCATATCACCGCGAATATTGCGTTTTTCATGGAGTTTTACGCCATTCACGTAAAACGGGTGAAACTCTATTGTGATAATTTCAGTAGAAATTTACAGAATTTCCTTTTTTGACTACGTGCATAATTTCTCATCTATAGAGTAAAATCGTGAGCATTAGGTACAACTCTGATAATGCTAAGGCAGCTGTGTTTGAGTGGCTGAAGAGGAGGAAGGTAGTGTAGATGGGAGATCACTTGAATGACTGCAAGGTGATCAGAGTGCTGTCGTTGCTATGGAAATTGCTCGTTTTATTATCTTGTAACGTGGTCTTCGTTCTGATGGAGCTCGTCCGAGGAAGTTGATGGGAACGTTCGTGGTGTGGTGACGGAGGGATTTCGGGAATAGACGAGGGTGTGGTATTATATTGCTAATATTGGAGTCTCAGATGCCGACAGGTTTCACATATCGTCCTGTTAACCCCAAGCAGCCCTCTACAGCGGGATGGACGGCACAGTATAACCAAACAGTACCAGGGTAAGGCACGGTGCGATCATGAGTTGGCTGGATGCTGCTGTGCTCAGTGAAGAGCTCCGACTGCAGTTCAGCGAAACGGCTAGCAATAAGAAAACAGCGTCGCAGTATCTTGCATTGGACATTTGTAGTTTTCTGTATGAGAAGGGGCTTATATCGGCTAACACGGGGAAGAGCGTAAGTGGGGTGAGGGCCGGGTGAATCGGGGAGAAAGGGTAGTGTAGGTGACGATGAGTAATGGAGTTACCAACCAAATGCAGCGGACGTCAGCTAATGCAATGCCGAAACCCGCGGACTTGCCTAAGCCTATCGTGGATGATATTCTCACGAGTTTGGGGAAGTGGAATGTAGGTTGTTGCTAGTGTTGTTATGGTTGTTAGTGTTGTTGTTGTTGTTGTTATTGTTGTTGTTGTCATTGTTATTGTTGCTAGTATTGTTTTTTGCTTTTATTGTTGTTATTGTTGTTATTGTTGTTATTATTATTATTGTTATTGTTGTTATTGTCGTTAGTATTGTTTTTATTGGTCGTTGTTGTTGTTATTGTTGTTGGCCGAGATGAGCATTAGTGTATCAGATAGAGTTGCCGTCGCCCCCTCCCCCGACTGAGCGATATGTACAGCTCCTGCCGTGTCTGAGGGTAGAGCCGAGTCCTATCACAAGCGGGCCTGATATTGAATCAATACAGTGGCAGGAGCCTAACGGTGAGAACCATTACTATATAGAGATTCATCTTGGTTTGGCGAAGTGATAGGAAATGATAATTGCGTACAGTATGCGCGATCTGAGGACCCAGTTTCGTGTGGCAGCCCAAATTCCTAGCTATTGCTCAATCTGAATTTTTTTTCATAGATACTCTCCGAACATGATTATATTTGTTCGAATATGTCACGGACTTGTTTCTGTATTCTAACCGCATACCGCGTTTTGCCTACACCAGGAGTGCAAAGTGATATGGTCGAGACAAAATTTTCAATGTTGAGGGTATGACTTGATGATTATGAAATCGTTGTCAACTGATCCACATTTTTACTACATTTGATGTTATTCGAAAATGACATATAAACGCTGAAAATTGTGTAGGTATTTCTCTGCATAACGTTTGATGTTTCCCTCACAATTTCGTACCATCTTTTGATCACATCTTACTCTATATAATGCATGTCATGTAGGCACTTACGATCCTTGGAAGCAAGTTGATATCATCCCAACGGAATCGGAGGCGACCGTTAGCAGCCGAGCCAGGGAGGAGAGGGCTGAGAGGCAAAGGTAGCTGAAATGCATATTCTACGTTCGAAGGTCATTATGAAAGTTTTGCAATGTATAGTCGAAGTGAAAGCTTTCTGTGGTGAAAGTAGTCGTAGTAGTAGTAGTAGTAGTAGTAGTAGTAGTAGTAGTAGTAGTAGTAGTAAAAGCGTGATGGGAATACAACCAGAAACTGGCGCTTGAATTTGGGCGGTTTTCCTCGGGCTTGTTGAGTGAAGAAAAGGATGAACTGACGGGCGGTCGACGTAGGTACTTGGTGTCTCATCCCTTCCGAGAGGAGCTTCCCGTGGACCAATTTCGAGACAAGTTGTTGAGCATGATTGACCAGGAGCAGGTATGGAAACTAGCGTTGGAATATTTGTTTGCTCTGCTCAGCTGAGCTTACGAGTTTCCTCGCTAATTATATACGAATTACAGTAGGAATGAACAGAAGCGAATGAGAATTTCTCACACATTCCGTATTGTCACTGACAATGTGCATATTATCCAACACTGATCAAGACGTTCGAGTATGTTCATGGTCACTTCAGGTCGTGCTGGTATCGGGTGCTACTGGGTCTGGCAAGACGACGCAGGTGCCGCAGTTTATACTAGATCACTATATTATGAACGATAGAGCGACGAGCTGTAACGTGGTGGTTACGCAACCTAGGTAAGAGGGAGGGAACAAGTTTATTGGAATCATCGAAGAGAAATTTTCATTTTTCTGAGGGGAAAGTTGTTAGTGTGGCGGAGCGATATTTCCTAGGCGTGTTGGTATGGAATCCGAGCGATCGGTAGTGATGAAATAGCATTGGCACTCCTGTGTGATGGTAAAGTCAAATCCCAGTGTTGGAATATATATATATCTGGTGTCTTAATCTGATCTCAGGAGTTTTTTCATCACATGTTGGAGCTTAGCGCACGATTTTTGGAAAATTTATACGGGAACCAAAATTTTCTCATTGTCAGCAATGTGCATGGTTGACGATGCGTATATTGTCCTACACTGATGAATTCGGCATTCCCATTCGTATGGTATGTTCTGTCCTCAGACGGATTGCCGCTATCTCTGTGGCAGCTCGAGTGGCCGCGGAAAGGGGCGAGGTGGTTGGTGCCAACACTGTTGGGTACAGCGTGAGGTTTGATACCAAGAACCCTCAGAGACCATATGGCTCGGTAGGTGGTGGTGATATTTGCACGCACGCGCAAGACTATTCATGTGGTAGATCCAGTACTGCACGACGGGAACGTTGCTAAGACGTTTACGTCGGGGGCTGAAAGGCATCTCGCATATTGTTGTCGATGAAATACATGAACGCGACCTTCAAACTGACTTTCTCTTAGCAATTCTGAAGAGGTACGTTGCTGCTTACTTGGTCACACTTACGTTATTGTTTTTTTTCGATTTCAGTCATGTGATTGGCCGTACGGGAATTCGTATTGTCCTCATGAGTGCTACTGCCGATGTAGAGCATTTCGTTTGGTATTATGGACTCTCGGAGGGAAGACAAACACTGCATGTGAGAAGACAGCAACATCAGGTGAGTAGAGATAACTGAGATTTCCTAACAGACGCGATATGCGCCAACACCGAGGGCTTGATTTTTTCTGGACAAATTTGAAAATTTATCATTTCACGCTTACGAAGTAGTGTTTTAGGCTGCGAAAAAATACGCTCATGAGACGTTTGAAATTATTATTGATTTTTTTGTGCGATTCTACTCCTGAGATCGTTGGTGAATTTTCATAGTAAGGTGGGGTAACCCCTGAGCTCAGCTGAGAGAACCAAACATATATCTCAACACGGGCGAATTTCACTTGGATTTTCCCTCACTCCTGTGGTGTGTGGTCGCCTCTGTTCTGCGGCTTTCGCGTACGCTAGCAGTGGTCCTGCTCAGGTCACTACTTATTATCTTGAAGACATATGTCAATTGATCGACTACGACCCTCACTTCAGGCGATCTCAGGCGAATAGTTCGTCCATTGGGGACTCCATGTTTAGGGTTAATTGCAACATGAATGTGAGAGGAGAAAGGATTTTGGTATCGCATGAGTTTTTCTCTTAGTCTCGGCAAGTGCTCGGACGTGGGTACTCACCGAGGGTGATTGAAGGCGTTGAGTCTATTGACGAACGAGAGCTACCGACTCATCTTATAGTAAGCATACTTCAGTGGACGGCACATACACATGGTGTCGAGGTGAGCCTATGGGAATCGATTTTTCGTATAGGGCTAAGTCGACTTCATTATTGGTGAATACAGTTATAGGTGGATCGTGAGGATTCAGTGGGGTAATTTGAGATCATAAATCGTCCAAATCTGTTGAGAAATTATCCACCAAGTTCGAGCGTGCCTCGGAAATTTTTGAAAAGTGTCTATTCGCTGACTCGATGTTGCTGGAGTTTTATATAATGTGAAATGTGCTTACCTTAGGGTGGAGCTGTTGTTGTGTTCTTGCCCGGTTGGCCGTCCATCCAGGGTCTGTTATGGGTGCTGAGACAGGAGCCGGAGATCACTGCTATCTTCGACCTCTTACCGTTACACTCACAGATCCCACCGGAGGTAGGGTACATCTCTATAACGTTCGACAACAGTTTTTATTGTCAGGACCAACAAAAAGTATTTCAAAAACCCCCACCTGGACGACGGAAATGCATTTTGTCTACCAACATTGCGGAAACTTCGCTTACTATTGAGGACGCGGTGAGACTATGGCTTATAGTTCACTTGAGTGCTGGTATTCCCTCGATCAGGTTTATATCATTGATACGTGTAAGTGCAAGTTGAAGTACTTCCATTCTGAACGGCAAATGTCCAGTCTGGACGTTTCCTGGGCTGGTGAGCAACAATGAGGTTCTCTAGAGTTCGATAGTTTTTCCTTCCCGTGATAGGCAAATCTAACTGCAAGCAACGTCGTGGACGATGTGGCCGAGTTCGAGACGGGTAAGTGGCGTATATTGTGTGTGCGCTTGTCTTATGCAAATGTATGAAAATTTGACTTCTCGGCTAATACGGCGAATATTCATATAATCTCATTATAATCGGGATGGCCGAAAAAGGGAGAAATAATGATGAAAAAATGGCCGAGAATTGTCAAAATTTCATGCATTTGCATGAAAAAAGCACGCACAGTAGTCGAAGCGTGGCTCAGAGTTTACTTGAGGCTCATAGAAACTAAGACTCGAATTCGGGTAGAAATGTACAGTAACTAATAGACTTTTCATATTGTCGCTAACACGCGTAGTTGATGAACATGTGCATATTTCCCACTGTCGCACTGTAGGTTCTGTTTTCGCCTGATTACGAAGGCCCGATACGAGCATTTGCAGGAACACATTATGCCCGAGATGATGAGATGCGAGATGATGGAACCAGTAGGAGTGGAGCTAAGAAGAGCCAATGGTCACGGCTTGGGCTTTAGATATTGGCTATTCTACGACTACGTTTGGGAGATCCTCGATATGTGTTGCATAATTGCATTGATCCGCCGCCACCTCAAGCGGTTGAAGATGCGCTCAAGAAACTGATGACTATGAGAGCTGTTGAGGTGAGGGCGTTTTTTTTCGGCTACTTTAGTTGCTTTTTGCCGAATTTTAGAGGCTTGGATCCTCTTTGACGGTATTATGAATAACTGTGATTCGTACAGCATTGGAAAAATATTCACCCGCACCTCCCGACTGTGGCTTTTCTCGAGTCTTCGAGTGACGGATATCTTGACCCTGGATACCTTGTATATTTACAAACTCGTTGGCTCTAGGGTGTTTTGTTTTTCTTCAGGGCAACACTGGGAAGCTATCGGACATCGGAGTGTTCCTCGCCGACCTTCCAGCGGACCCCCCTGTGGGCTTGTCCTTGATATATTCTCTCATACTAGGGTAAGTACAACACTGCCTCGTGAGTGCTGTTAACTCTAGTTTTGTTCATCAGCGTCTTTGACAAGGCAGTGACTATAGCTGCTATGCTCTGTCAAGGAGATCCAAGTGCTCTGTCTGTCCAGGATAAGGATACACCTCCCAACGGTGAGTTGATGGAAGAACTCATCTAGGGACTTGAATTTTTTGAACAGCCCAACTGGAGCCGGAGAATATGATGTTTGGGTACGCCGTGAGCGACATCTCGGACCACGCCCATTTGGTAGAGGTGTTCGAGCAATGGGATAGGCTTTACTCTAATTACGGCCATCAGCGAGCTTCCGATTTCGCTTGGAGGAGTGGATACAACAACAGAAGTCTTGTAGCAGTGCGCAATACACGAAGACAACTCCTGGACTTCGTTTATCAGAAGGGCCCCGCTTTGATCGCTACGAAGACTGAGTAAGCTGAGCTACTACTTCATGCGTCATTTTAGTGGTGGTCATTCTTGTCAGAGCACCAGCGGTGAAGCAGTGGCAGCTACTGACGGCTTGTTTGGCCGCCGCGCTGTCACCAAAGTTCGCGTTGCATGATACGGGAAAGCAGGCGTGGGTCCAGTACACTGAGCGCGCCAAGATAGATAGGGCTTCGAGGTGAGGCTCGAGGCTCGTTTGTCTCGGTG